ATAATGGTTATTGAATCTGTATTTAAATGTTTATAAATTAAGATAGGCTTTGGCATGACTGGGAGATTTTCCATTTTAGGTTTGAGTTCCTTTGAAAAATAAAATTTTGTAAAAGTATGTATGAGTAGATTATTGTCAAACATCCACAAGCATAGGCAAGCACTGAAGGTGAAATTTGTTTTGTTTAAATTACCTGAAAACTTTGCTTTTATAAATTATAAATATGTTACTATACAGTGGGGCCTTGACTTACGAGTGTTCCGACTAATGAGTTTTTTGAGATACCAGCTTTCTCTGGGCAGATTTTTTGCATTGAGTTGACAGTCATTTGAGTTAACGAGCTCCTTAAGGAGCTCGGTCTCGGAACGAATTAAACTCCTAAGTCAAGGCCCCACTGTATCTGTTTTTTAGAACATCTGGAACCAGATGTTTTGATTTGGGTAGTTCTTTAAAAATATTTTTTATTGATTTTTAGACAGAGAAGAAGGGCAGGTGGGCGGGGGGGGGAGAGAGAGAGAGAGAGAGAGAGAGAGAGAGAGAGAGAGAGACATGGATGTAACAGTGAAACATCAATTGGTTGCCTCCTGCACATCCCCCACCGGGGATTGAGCCTACAATTCAGTCATGTGCCCTGACCTGGAATTGAACCTGCAACCTTTTGGTGCACAGGACAATCCCAACCAACTGAGCCAAATGAAGCAGGACTTGAGTTGGGTAGTTTTTAGAAAATATATTAACTCTGGTCACCCACAGCTTCATTCAATGGGTACTTCAGTAGCCATCTTTTAGGAGATGTAGTAGCCCTGCCTTTAGGAGAGAACAAATTAATTTCTTAATTAGCTCATAGTATAGGAATCATTTAGTAGTGACATTTGATTTCTCCAAATGGGAAAATCTTAAGCACTATGTATTAGATTGTCTAACATTCTTTACTAAAAAATATTTCACAGTTAGCCTCTTAAAACATATTAATTTGGGTGTGATTGTACTATGTTTACGAAATTGCCCATTGAAAAATATTGTCTCTTAAAAGGGTACTTGGGCTTACCCCTTTACCCCTTTACTATGTCTTTTGTGTTTTTTTAAAGTGGCACCTTTTATTCCCTCCTAGAAAGATGATAGACTTAGTTTCAGAAGAGCTGGTTTGACTCTTGGTCCTGCTATGAATTTGATATGTAATTTGGGCAAATTATGTAATCTATATTAGCTTTATTTGTTTCATTTGAAGATGGAGGTGGAACTATTTCTCAGGGTTATTATGATATCAAATGAGGTAATATATGTGAAAGCCCCTTAATGTGAATTGATCTGTAAAGATAATGAACATGACAATACTGTGTTTACTTTAATTGACATTTAACCCAATTAAGATAATCACTATTTAGTAGCACTATCTCTAAATTCTGTCTAGGTATTGGAGATGAGAATCACGGAAACGAATGCTTTAACTGTTGTTTTTTAAATGGACATTATGGGTGTTTCTTCTTTCTCTTTTTTTATCCCACTGAGTGCCTCAGAGAAAAAGAGATGCTAGCAAGGTGGGGTGCTATTTCCTCTCTTAAGTTATTGATGCACATATTGTGTGTTATAGTAATGATGAATAATAGCCAACGCTGATATAGTGCTAACTATTCCTGTACAGCTCCCAGAACTTCACAATATTAACCCTTCTAGTCCTCCCAATAACCCTGGGAGACAGGTGCTGTTACTACCACCTGTATAAAGTTGGCGAAACTGAGGCACAGAAAGGTGAACTTGTTCAAAATTACATAGTCAGTGTTTTTAGTCAAATTGAATTTTCTTGTATCTTTCATTCAATTCTGAGGGAAGAATTTGGCAAGAATCATATATCATGATAAAGGATATCATGAATATTACTTGGGTCTTGGATACATGGAATGGCATCTCTTTTTGGATAAATGATACTGCCTGCATACATGCTGGGATGACACAAAGACAATAACTTATTTTCCTTTCTGTTTTTTTTAAATACATTTTTATTGATTCCAGAAAGGAAGGGAGAGGGAGAGAGAGATAGAAACATCAATGATGAGAGAGAACCATTGATCTTCTGCCTCCTGAATGCTCCCCACTGGGCAGCCTGCAACCTACGCCTGTGCTCTGACTGGGAATCGAACCGTGATCTCCTGGGTCATAGGTTGACACTCAACCACTGAGCCATGCTGGCTGGGCTGCTTTTCTTTTTAATCTTCAGTGCATATTACTGGATATATTAGTGTTAAATTATTTCTTTCTCCTGAGCCTAAGGTACAGTAACAGGAAGCTAGCCTTATCAGAAAAGTCCAGTCATCTGGGTCCCGTGCTGGAGGTGAAATAATTGAACCCCCAGCCCCATCTAAAGAGATACTCCAGAGCTCACACACCCTTTATCTTTTTTTTTAGACTTAGACTTTGTTTGAATTAGGTTCATATATTAAGTCATTTTTAATTTAGGCATTTTCTCATTCATTTAAACTATTTTTTCATAAGTTTTATCAGTTTTATCAAAGGTCTTCCATGTGTCAGGGATACTATAAGGAGTAAGATGGTGAATATGACAGTACATACTTTCTGCTTGTTGAATTTAGAGACTAGCAGGAGAAGACAGACAGCAGGCATATAATCTCACGCTGCTCTGAATAGTGCTACAAGGGAGAGGAGCACTGTGGTCCAGGGATGGATGAGAGAAGGCATTTGGAGATCACTTGATGATCATAAATTGCTTTCTCCTGGCTGTCTTTGGGCCTGTACAAGATGTTGGAGATTTAGGGAGGCAGAGCTAAGAGAGGGCAAGTTAGCAAGAATAGATGGGGAGCAGAGTTGGCAAGGCAGTGCATGATACAAAAACAGTGCATGACACAAGGTGGCTACAGGGAAAAGAAAAAAGCAAAAGGTAATTTGAGCAGCATAACATATACATCCTTGAATATATCACTATATAGGGAATAATATTTGTTATGACTATCATTTTCAAGAAAAGCTATTGCATCTTCATTCTACTCAATTCTGTGAAAAAGGGAGGGACGTCATTTAGAGTGATTTCCATTATCATAGTGGAAAGTACTTTATTGTTTGAAAATTTCTGTGTCAGTTTTATGGCAATTACTTTATACAGAATGTTGGATAAATGGAATTATGGCCTACATTTATGCAAATATTTAAAATTAGTATGAATATTAATTGCAAAGGCATTGGGATAACAGTAGACCTTGGTTTCTGGTTCTACCTGGAAGCCAGAGCTTGGATAAATCATAATTGAGAAATAATTGATTGCTTTACATTTACGTCTTACTACCATGTGTCATTATAGTATTTGTTTGCCTTTGGATCCAAAACGGATATGATATGTAATAATCCTTCAGAGACTTCCTTTTTCCTGTTCATTGGTATATACTATTTACAATAGTGCCTGGTATATAACAGGCACTCAATAAATATTTACTGAATGTATGCATAAATAAGATAATCACACAAGTATATCATTACAAACTGTGGTAAATGAAACTATTTTCAAAACTATAAATATTTCACACAAGTGATGCTATTTATTTGAATTCTAGAAAAAATACAGTCTGCCAGAAGATAACCTGTTTATTTTTTGTATTGGATGTTTTCTCTCTCTATTTTCTTTTTTTTCAATTACAGTTGACATTCAGTATTATATTAGTTTTAGGTGTACAGCATAGTGGGTAGACCTACAATTTAGGAAGTGATACCCCCAGTAATTCTAGTGCTCACCTTTTACCATACATATTACAATATTAACTATATTCCCTATGCTGTATCTTACATCCCTGTAACTACCGATTTGTATTTCTTAATCCCTTCACCTTTTACACTGAGCCCTATATCCCCTCCCATCTGGCAACCCTCAGTTTATTCTCTGTATCAGTGAGTCTGCTTCTGTATTGTTTATTTTTCTCTTTAGATTCCACATATAAGTGAAATCATGTGGTATTTATATTTCTCTGTCTAACTTATTTCTTTTTTTTAATATATTTTATTGATTTTTTACAGAGAGGAAGGGAGAGAGATAGAGAGTTAGAAACATCGATGAGAGAGAAACATCGACCAGCTGCCTCCTGCACATCTCCTATTGGGGATGTGCCCGCAACCCAGGTACATGCCCTTGACCGGAATCGAACCTGGGACCTTTCAGTCCGCAGGCCGACGCTCCATCCACTGAGCCAAACTGGGTTCGGCTCTGTCTAACTTATTTCACTTAGCATAATACCCTCTAAGTCCATTCATGTTGTTGAAAATGGAAAGATTATGTTCTTTCTTATGGCTGAGTAATATTCCACTGCATGTGTGCACTGCATTTTCTTTATGCATTGATGGGAACCAGAGTGCCCTACCTGCCTTTTGCTTGAAATGCAAATTGGTACAGCCACTATGGGAAATAGTATGGAGGTTCCTCAAAAAATTAAAAATAGAACTACCTTATGACCCAGCAATTCCACCTCTGGTTGCTTTCTTTTTAAACATTTACTTCCTAAGTGTTTCTCTTCCTTTATATCCATGGTTTATAATACTGAGTTCTACCTTTCTGGTTCTGTAGCCCCTTCGAACCCAGTTCAATTACTATCTAGAATAGAGATTCTTACCTACGCTCAGTGAAGCTTTGTGAAATCTGTTGTTGCCTCCTGAGGCCTCATGCACTCCTAAAAATGTAGGCCAAAGGTGCATTTTACTAGAAACATTTCCCATACCTTTCATCAGATTCTCAGAGTACATGCCCCCCCACCCCCCACACACATACCAGTTTAAGAATAATTGCTCTAGAATATGTATTTTTCTTTTCACTTTTTGATGTTTATTGGTTTATTTTTGTTGCTTCTTTTCCCCTGAGATGGTTTTGTTTCCCTTTTAATATTCATGATTATGTTTTGGTATTTTAAAATGTTTACTGTTTGTCCCCAGCATGTGGTATTCTTGGATTATTGTATGGCCTCTGATCCTAGCCCTTCTCTCTTGTCTCTTTTTTGTCTGGCCAACAGTGTGGGGATGTGCCAACTGCAGGCTTGTGCTATCCAACCCTTCTGGGACCTTTACTTCTCCATGCTACCCTAACGACTACCCTAACGCCCAGTATTGCATGTGGACCCTCCGAGCCCCCGCTGGTTATATCATTCAGATAACGTTTAATGACTTCGATATTGAAGAAGCACCCAATTGCATTTATGACTCATTATCCCTTGATAATGGAGAGAGCCAGAAGAAATTTTGTGGAGCAACTGCCAAAGGCCTATCGTTCAACTCAAGTGCAAATGAGATGCTTGTGTCCTTTTCAAGTGACTTTAGCATCCAGAAGAAAGGTTTCAATGCCAGCTACATCAGAGGTATGTAAACCAAAGACAGTGCCAACCTTCTGCTTTCATTTAACATGTTCTACAATAAACACAGAACCAGAAGCCAGACTTATGCTCTTTTATGTGAATGTGAATGATTAGGATTAGAATATAAGGGCAGGAAGTTGTTAATATTCTCTGAGTATTCTCACTAGCAATAGATAGCTAGCATATCCAAAAAGATCTGCTTGTAGTAGAGCTGAATTCCTTCATATTGTTTACATGCAGAACATATAAAGGCCACTTGGAAGACAGTAGATTTTCCACAGCTAATAATTAAAATCTGTAATTTTAACATCTCTCTACTGAACGCTTAAAACATTCCTATTTATAAATCATTTTCTTTTAGGCTTTTAAGATGTTGCCTTTTAAGGAACTATGCTAGGGGATAAATATAAAAATTAGCATAGAATTTAAAATTTTTAAAAGAGCTATCTATTACTTACTGCTAATAAACAACATAAACTGAGGAAAGCCTCTTGAAAAATGGCAATTGAAGGAAAGAAAATACATTTTTATCAAATACATTTCCCAGATTCTGGCATGTCTTAACATTTAAATAATTCTGTTCTTTCTAAAACCCATCGTTGCTTAAGAAGAATGCAAGCTTCAAAACTGTGAGATGTAGTTATACTATTTTTTATCTTGAGCTTCTTAAGTAGATATCATGTATCAAGGAAAGAAACAAAAAAGAAAGGCACTACAATGAAAATAAGTCATCATTATAAATTGTGTTTTTGGTGGCAAGGTTATTTGCTGTTTGTAATTGACAGATATGTGGTTAATTGAAACACATGCTTTAATTCTTCAAATAATGTTTTTAAAATGATAAAATATAGGAAATTTGAAAATAGAAAGGATCAAATTACAAATACCTATTGATATACCCCCCTCAGCCATAACCACTAATAAGATATTGATGGACATGCTTGCTCCTTGCTCCATATTTTAACAACATGTGTAGAATACTGGGTTCATATTGCATAAGATCCCATTGGGTAAATAGACCTGTGAACTGTTTTATATTTAAAAAGTAGACTACAATCTACAATTCTATTAAATTTCATCATGGATTTTTAACTAAAATATTTATATAAAATGATGTTTCTTACCATCAACCTATTCTTGGTGTATATTAAAGTATATTCAAAGTAGTGTTCATTTGAAACCAGTATTAAGCAGTATTTTTGAAGAGAGCTGCTTCTCTCTCAAATCAGTTGATGATGTTTCACCGTGTCTATTATATTAGCATCGGGCTAAATACATTGTATTATTTCATCATTTCACATATGTCACAGGAAGACAAGGCTAATTTATGTTATTTTGAATTTATTATGCATATCATAAAAGTAATCTATATTAGTAATCAGTACTAGCTATAGATTGATATGGCACAGGCATTGCCCTAGTGCTTTGCAGGCATTAACTTAATTAATTCCTATTGACCACCTGTGTAATAGGCGCCATGGTCATTCATTTTGCAGATAAAAAGACAAGGGTAGAACAATGTGAATAACTTGTCCAAGGGCACACAGCACAGTGGAAGGGCTGGGATAGGGAGCTCCATCGTCTGCCCTTTGAACCACTGCCCCTTACTATTCCTCTCAAACTAGCTCAAATGTAAAGGAAATAGTGCTTCAAATTACAGTTTTGTTTGTTGTGTTACTAGACTCCCTCTCCTCAATGGCAGTGTCTTTTCCTTCATTCCTGAAATCCCCTTGTGATGGGGGACATGAGTAAGATATGGGGTGTCTGAAGAGGAGAAAGGCAATTGTTAATGAATAATAGAACTATTAGTTATTATATTTAGAAATTATTTGAAAACTAACATTTTTTTAAAAGTCTAACATATGAATAGAGCTTTCTTGAAACCAGTAGTTTTTTAATTATTTCTTTTCTTTCAGTTCAGGGATGAAGAAATATACTTGTTATTAACTTGGCTGGTTGTACCTCAAAGATTTAAGTGTGATATCCAACCATGATTAGAGTTTAAATGGGTGGGATTTTTTATTGCTATTACTAATATTGCTATAAGGTAATGGGTTGGTGATAGAGGGTAGATGAACAGCAAAAGAGGAGAGCCATAGGCAAAAAAGTCAATTAATGGTGTGGTTGGGTGTATCAGACATTTTATCTCTCATTAGTCCGTATCTGAAGTTAACATCTTTTATCTGTTATTATGTTTTGTTCTAGTCGCTGTGTCCTTAAGGAATCAAAAGGTCATTTTACCCCAGATACTAGATGTGTACCAGGTGTCTGTTGCAAAAACTGTCTCTATTCCGGAGCTCAGCGCTTTCACACTCTGTTTTGAAGCAACCAGAATTGGCAAGGAAGACAGTGAATGGATGGCTTTCTCCTACTCAAATGCATCCTTCACACAATTACTCAGTTTTGGAAAGGACAAGAGTGGCTACTTTCTAGCTATAGCTGGCTCAAAATGTTTACTAAACAGCGTGTTACCTATGAAGGGTAAAGAAGACATTTTCACAGAAAGCTTTGAGCAGTTCTGCATTGATTGGAATAATTCTTTTGGTTATATTGGTGTAACTTTCAAAAGATGGCACAAAATAGTTCTATGCAATGCTAGCATTGATAAAGTTATTCCTGGGAATGGGAAATTGTTGTTGGGCTCCAATCAAAATGGAATCGCCTCTCTAAAAGCGGACATTTATAACTTTCGACTTTGGAATTTTTCCATGAGTTCCAAAATCCTCTTCAACCTCAGCTGTAATGTGAAAGGGAATGTGGTCGACTGGCAAAACGACTTTTGGAATATCCCAACCCTAGCTCTGAAAGCTGAAAGCAACCTAAGCTGTGGTAAGTCTGTGGCCTATTAACTCTTTTTCTAAAGCATTGCTCTATGAATATGTTTGTCAACAAAAAATTGCATATACATATATGTATATAAAATTATGTATGTACACATATAATTACATTATGCATATATTTATGTGGAATAAGTACATGTATATATATATATTTGCATATATATATAATTAGCATTAATTAGCTCTTTTAATTTTTAAAATGTTTATAGCTCAGTTATTCATTGTAAACGTTTTATTATAAGCCATATTTTTTCAATCAAAGCCTTTGATTATACCATTTTTAAGTTTTCTTTATGTCATAAAATATTACACAGTTTATCACTAACAAACAATAGTTATAATTATCATGTATCAAATAGAAATATTAACACCAGACCTGAAAAAAAAGAAACTAATAAGTTATTGTTTTTAATTACATAGATGATACAGCAAAATGCTGATTTTTATTATGTTATTTAAATAAACCACCACCACCTAAAAGCATGATATTTACTCAGTCAGTATTAAACATCACAACTGTCCATTTAAGGAAAATCTTTGATAATCAGAAATTATCATTGTTTTATTTGAACTTTTATTCTATTTATTTGAAAATGAGCTTTGTCATTTGTTTCAAATACTCTTTTCTTTGATTGCTTTTGAGAGACTTTAAACGTGATAATATTAGATGTAGCTAAATGCAAAATGCTTAGAGAAAATAATTCTGTGTAGCATAATTATATTAAAACTAGAAGCCCGCTGCACGAAAATTCATGCACTCGGGTGGGTCCCTCAGCCCGGCCTGCAGCCTCTCACAGTCCAGGAGCCCGCAGGGGATGTCTGACTGACAGCTTAGGCCTGCTCTGGGGAGAGTGGGCCTAAGCTGCAGTCTGGCCTCCCTCGGTGGGAGGCAACCAGCTTGCCAATCAGGGGACATCACAGTGAGCGGCCGGCCCCGCCCCCATCGTCCCACCCGTGGCAACAGGGTGGGCTGATCAGAGGCTGGCTCCCGCTGGCAAGCAGCTGGCCCCGTCCCCCACCCCCTGATTGCCCCTCTTCTGCTGGTCACCACTTAGCCCTGCCTGCTGGCATGAGCCTCGGCTGGCCTGGTGCCGCCCCCCGCCGACTGGTCGTACTGCCATTCAGTTGATTTGCATATTATGCTTTTATTATATAGGATAGACTTCTATCAAATATTCTCTAGGGTACCTAAGTTAATTTTGGAAGTCCTTATTTTACTACAGGACTAATAAAATACAAAATGTGAAAGTTACATTATCATATTGAATGTTATATGACTAAAGCTAAGGTATTGATAAATATAATTTGTAGTTGCAGAAATAATTCTTATTAAAGGAGAGAAGTGGCCTAATATTAAAAAGTAATTTGTATGTGACCTTGGAAGGGACTCTTTCAGAAATTTGTTACCAATATTTTTAAGAAAGTGGGCCCCATTGTGAAGACCTGAGGCCACCTCCCCAGTTTCCCTGACCTGTGTTTGCCCTGCTGCCCTGGGGAACTCCTGTCACCTACCCATCTTTGTGGGTAACCCACCTCTCCGTGTGGTCATGGTGCTGCTGCAGATGTTGGGAGGCTATTAAGTGATGTCATTTGCCAGTTATTTCCTTGTGGGTTGTTGGAAAGAGGGTAAACCACGACCCTGTTCCAGAAGGAGACTGTGGGACTTTGTAAGAGCTAGAGGTGTTCCCCAGCTGCTCTCGGTCTGATTAGCAGCAGAGCACCTTCAAGGATCCCCAAGAAGTCTTCTACTCAGTGAGGAAATCGAGAAGGTCCAGCATGTGTGTTTGGTGTGGGATGGTGGATAGGAGGGGAGGGCAGTGGGACTCTTCCTGCATCCTTAGTAGAGGGGCCTGTTTTCACCATGTTCTGGGTCATTACTAAAAGTCATAATGAAGACCATTTAGCATTTGTCTTTTTGTGGGGCAGAATTTGAGGACTCCGACAACCAAAACAAAACAAAACAAAAAAAACAGAAAAAGAAAAGAATTAGCTAGGTATATTAGTTATTGCTAACACTTAATTTATACTTAATTGAATACATATATTATTTTCTAGGTACTGTTTTAAGCACTTTACTAGTCACATATTAACTCATTTTCTACAACATAGATCTCATGATGTGGTTTTTATTATTAACCTCATTTTGCAGAAGAGAAATCTGAGACCCAAAAAGGTTAAGGAATTTAACCAATGTCACTTCAATAATGTGGCCAATTCAGGAACTGGTTTTAGAGCAATGCATTCTTAACCAGATAAATAAGACTGTCCTTCAGAATAAGCAGGGCTAGAAAAAGGGACGTAGTGCTAGAGCAGGTGAGCTAATCCTCACCCAGGTGAAAACTAGAAGATCGAGGAGCTGTCTCTTCTGGCCAGAGTGTCTTCTGCGGGAAAATGCTAGCTTTCCAGGATGTTAACATGTCTTTGTGTTTTTTTAAAATTAATAAGGTTTCTTTTCTGCAATGCTTCTTGAGTGCCTTAATATAATAAAATGTGAGGGATATAGTGTACAAGAATTCCTAAATTTCTCTGAGAAATTCTATAGACCAGGGATTGACAAAATAGGAGGGCCTATGGCAGGTCATCTATTTTCTTCAAGTTTTATTGAAACACAGCCATGCCCATGAGTTGTTTCGTTTTGTTGCTTTGTTTTTAACAGCATATTTAAAACTCCTTTCCCAAGTCTTAAGACTACAAGAATACATCAGATTCATGCTCAGGTATCATAGTCATCTATAAATTTTCAAAATGATTTCATTCAAAGGAGTGACACTAGTTTACCTACTCAGTGATGTGAGTTACTTTAATTTTTATAGTGGTCTTCTTGACATTCCAAGATGACACTAAACACCCACATTTCATAGATTCCGATATCTTGGACTGAGTTTCAGGAACCATAACAGGGAGAGGGAGTTTTCTGCCGTTTAATCATCAGCTTTGGGAGTTGAAGAACCAAGTCACTTATTAACTGACAGGAAATACCTGTAACACAGATTATATCGAAGTTTATTAGTTCAGCAAAACTTCAAGAATTGGAAAAAAGTATGCTCTATTAACATTTTAACCTTTCCTTTCCCCCAGAATGTAGTGGCTTGCTGTTTATGGTACTAATAATTTCCCCAAACTAATGATCAGTACAGTAACCAATGGGAAAGTAGAATTTCATGCCTAACATTCCATTGGCCTGACGATGTCTGTTAAATGTGAACTTTTATTTCAGAATCAACTTGTGATGGACAATGAACAGATTTTTTTCTAAAGGTGCATTGCTAAGTAAAGTTTTCATATGAAAATAAGATAGTAGAATTATCTACATTTAAATATTCTGTCATTTTTTCAAATATGAAATATTCTAGTCTTAATAAAATAAAAGTGTTTCAACAGTTTCAGAATTGGACTTTTTTTGTTTGTTTGTTTTCCTAAACTATTCTAAGCATAGTTGGGAAATATACCTTAATTAAGAAATTTTCATCAGAGTTTCTTAAAAGCATGGCTAATCTTGTCAGTCTTTTTCAGAAAGAAATGCTTTATTTAGCAGCACTTCTTGTTATTTTATAGCATCATTCTTTTTCTTAGAACAATTTTCATTAAACATATTCAGTTTTATGACCTCCATAGATAGACAGTTTTCTTGGCTGGCTCTTTAATTATAGGTGCAAGTATTTGCCTGTGTTATGATTCAAGTTTAGATACTGGCTAGTGTCCACCACTTTTCACAAAGAACAGACAGTGCCTTCTCTTCCAGTTTTATTTATTTTACCGCTGACTGCTCTTTCCTGAGGTGTCATACAGTACAACTCAATGAATAGCCTAAGTTCAAACAAATTACATTTATTTAACTAGCATTAACAAGCACTTCCATTTATTAGCCACTGTGGTTATAGAGATAAGATACAATTCATAAGTACCCAACTTTGTTGTTATTCTTTTCTAGAAATGTTTGGATTTATACCAACTTTTGTTTTCATTGTAAAATTTAGCCCTTAATTACTAAGGCATCATCAACTCTTAGATCCCTACCCTTTCATTTTCAATTATTATAGTTCTGTTCTTCATGCCCTAAAACTGATTCATTATAAACTTCTTTCTACCATCCCTAACAAATTTTTGAGTAGCATTTTTATATATACACTAGAGGCCCAGTGCATAAAATTTGTACAGTGGGTGGGGGGTCCCTCAGCTCAGCCTGCGCCCTCTCACAGTCCGGGACCCCTTGGTAGATGTCCACCTGCTGGCTTAGGTGGACATCTCTCTTGCAGTCCAAGACCCCTCGCCCCTTACCACCCACCTGCTGCGGAAGCAGGAGAGGCTCCCGCCACTACTGCTATGCTCACCAGCTGGGTTCTCTGCTCCTTAGCATTGCCCTTCCCCCCACCTACTGGGGGGGTGGCGATCGGGGGCCGGGCCAGCCAGGGGAGGGGCTGCGAGAGGTTGAGGTGCTGTGGTCAAGCCCCGTCCCGCTTCTGCAGAAGGGGTTGTGCTGGGACCGCCATGGCTGGCCTGGCAGCACAGGATCGCTGGCCCTGCCCCCTGCCCACTGGTCATTCAGGAAGGTTGTTCTGCTGTCTGGTCTAATTAGCATATTAGCTCTTTATTATATAGGATAACGTATACATACATTAGATTCACATAATGAAGATAAAATCACTTTATCTTTACAAAGGACTTTATTATTTGGAGATGTTTAAACTCTTTATGAGCATAAATGATTCTTGGAAATAGTTTTATTTGAGATATATTTATTTATGGAAAAATTGTAAAATTTAGCTTAGTACAGCTGCAAAGAAGGAATTGAAAAGGAATTATTTTTCCCCATTGTAACTCATGCTAAGGGTTCATTGCTGTCTACTATTATTTGGATTGTGATTAAATAGGTTATGAGATGAGTTGTTGACTACACATCAATCTTTTTTACCACAACCCCTGTAAATAAATAGTGATTCCTTTTAGTAGTATAATTTTGCAAGAACAACAAATAGAAAAGAAAGATTTTCAGCTTCTCATCAACTGCCCATTTTTAATGATTACATTTTTTCCAAAGAAATTTGACTCTAAATTTTGCAGTTAATATTAAGTAAATACCTTTTAAACACCTTTGTGGTATCTATAAAAATGAGTGAACATACATAGGTTACATTCTGAAAACAATTCCTTGATGAAAAAGATATTATCATTATCCAGGAGGTAGAATTGTCTCGCTTGCTTAACGATATCCTGGTTTGTAAATCTGTTGGCCTAGGAAAACCGATAGCAATAGTGACTTTTTATGCAGATATGCTGAGCATGGCACTAGTTAGAAATAAAAAAAAATTTTTTTTTGCATCTACTTTTTATATTTCATGTAATTATATAATTGGGTGTTTTAATAATGCAATATTTTATTTATCAATATAATTTCTCTCTAATAATACTCATCACTTGTATTTATACTATCCCCCCAAAATTATCAAACTTAACATCTATTCCTATATTGAATCTCCATAAGGTAGTGTTTATTAAGTATTTATAAAGCAATGTTCATTTGCTAGGCTTTAAGGAACAGCTAACAACTTAAATATTGAGAAGTAAATGTTACAATTTCCCATGAAGGTTGTCACATATTGAAATGTATACTTGTTATGATACAATGGCACTGATAAAATGTTAAATAAAATTGTCAAATGTCTTACTGTAAATCATAACTCTTTGGGTTTTCTTTCCCATCCCCACCTCTAAGCTCTGTACTATACTGCAGTGGAAAAGCAGTTATCCATAAAACTTCTTTCCCACAACAATGTCCCCTTATCTCCCTTTGTCGTCCAGAGATACTGTATCAGGGCCAGGAGTGGCCAGGGAGCCTTTGACTGCCAACATTGTGTGTAATTTGAGAAGCACAGGAACTCCATCCAAGGGTCTCCTCTGTCGCCTGTTACAGTGGCTGAGATTTCCTCACTCATTTTGAGTTTTTAGTTTTTAGAAGTTCCTTACTAACATGTAAGTACCTAAAGGAGAAATAAGGTCAGGCAAGAAGGGGGCATTAGTTAAGAATAATGGGCAGAAAACTTTCAAGACAGTATTCTACCTCAGTCCTGCCTGAGGCTGACCTCAACTTCTGTCTCCTCAAATGTTCTTTTTCCATGGTATACTTGTCCAAGCTTTCAATCTTTAAAACCTCTCCTTCCTATCTCTGCTTCCTTTCATAGCCACGCTTCCTCTTTTTGCATTCACCCCTCAATCAAACATTGGCATCTAGAGTCCTTCGTTCCCACGCTCCTGAAGCTAAGTTCTGTAGAACTGCTACCAAAATTCCAGTGCAGAGTTAAAGGTCTTCTCAGTCTTTATCATTCTTGACCTTTCTTGTGCACTTGGTATTGCCACACCCTCCATGAAACTTTCTTCACTTTAATTCTGAAAAACCACCTTCTACAGAAGCTCTTTTTTTTTTAAATATATTTTATTGATTTTTTACCCTTCTACAGAAGCTCTTTTTTTTTTTTTTAAATATATTTTATTGATTTTTTACAGAGAGGAAGGGAGAGAGACAGAGAGTCAGAAACATCGATGAGAGAGAAACATCGATCAGCTGCCTCCTGCACACACCCCACTGGGGATGTGCCCACAACCCAGGTACATGCCCTTGACCGGAATCGAACCCGGGACCCCTCAGTCCGCAGGCCGACGCTCCATCCACTGAGCCAAACCGGTTTTGGCCAGAAGCTCTTTTTACCTTCTCAAACCTGATCCTTAAATAAGGGAATATCTATGGTTATATCCTTCTCAAATCTTTACTCAAGCTCCTGTGATCCCAGACCCGGCTATCGCTTCTGTTGAGTATTGCCTGGCTAGACCTCTTACAAACCCATGTGCACCTGCTGTGTGTCCAGGTGTCTCTCAGGCACCTCAGTTTTCATTACTGGATTTACTGGTGAGCCCCCCTCACCTAAGTTTGTTCTTCTTCCAGTATTTCCTATCTCCTTTTATGAGATTATTATGTACCAATTTCTCAAGCTAGAAACCAGAAGAAAATGTCTTCATCTCTTTTGTCCCTCTTCCAAAAAGTCTCTGAATCCTAGACAGTCTACTTGCAAATGCCTTGCATCTATCTCTTTCTGTCCATTGTCATTTTAGTCGTGATGCCAACTTGAATCAATAGGGTTATTCATGCTTCTTGTACCTCCCCTCTTCTAATTAGTTATGGGCTTCAAAGGTGTTTTCAAACATAAATAGAAATTTCTCACCTAGTTTCCTTTCACTTTTTCCCCATTTCCTTTAAGAAAGAGTTCAAAATGTGAGCTGTTGTTCATCACGCATTCAGTAATTTGTTCAGTAAAGCTTGAGCACCCACCTGAGATGTGGATGGGATAAACCATCCTTGGAAAGACACTCGTGGTGCCTACATTCTACAAGGCCCTTAACCCATTGCCTATATATCTGACCATTCCTACCAATTTTCTACAGATACCCAGTGATGCCATGTCACTTGCGTACCCAGATCTCTTCACAGCCTTCTTGGTATATGTTTCAGTAATTCTGTCTGCTAGAAATACCCATCTCTAGTCTCTTATCCCGTGATCAGTATAGTGATTCCTCATCTTCGCAGCTCTTCTTTGTAATGGAATGCACCCTTCTCCCTTCTCACCAAACTGCTGGTCATGTCCTGCTTTGGGCTACTAAATACTTATATCATTCAGAGAACTATGAAGCCATTTCCCATGTATGCCTCTCTGAGAGTAGGGACATTATCTCATGTATTACTCTAGCCTCTGAGCCTCGTACACTATAAACAGTCAGTAAATTTTTATTGAATGAACATGTAAAGGCCTGTAATGAGAGCTTTGTACCAGTTAACATTACAGACTTGCCTGTAGGGTTGGGCCCTTCTGAGGTAACATGATTTCCTTCCTTGGGCCAGGTGCCTGAAGCAATCAAGAATGAAGATGCTATTAAACTGGGGATGCTTTCTGTTCATGCACACCATTTACCTAGACATCTTTTGTTAGCTCATCTTTTTGTGCCTGCTCTACCTGCAGGTACTATTCCCACAGGAAAGTTTGGAAATGTTTAAACATTTGAATGGAATCACATGTCCTTTTAAAATTGAATACATGTATTTATGTGTGTGTGTTTGTATTTATCCTCTGTCTTTATTCATAGTGCAATATGCTTTGTGAAAAGTTTAACCCAGCTTCCCTCACCTCAGCCTGTTTATAAAAGTCTGTTAATTGTCAGAGAAAGATGTAATGCAACAGAGAAAACTCACTACTCCTACTAGAAAATCAGCTCAAACTTGTTTCCTACTGAGGATGACTCAGTAAAAGCTTGAAAAAGAAAGACACAGAGACCACCTTGAAATCATAGAAATGTATTTCTGGAATTGTCAATAGCATCTGTTAGTGGCTAGCAACAAAATGTGCATATTATGAGTATTAATAGCCAAGTTTAGTTTTGAAACTTATCTTGATGTGTATATTATTTCATCTGTACAGATTTCCACCAGAGCTGTATAATTTATTATGTGAAAAGACCCTGGATTTTTTACACAAATTTTTCCTTTCATATGTGGATGGCCAATAAGTTGAGTTAAAGATTTTAAGGGATATTTCAATAACCTGGTTTTGCATGTGCAGAAATTAAGACACAGAGACTTTAAGAGACTCTCTTAATGTTGGAGTATTATTGGAGGATGCTTTTAGGGCTGCTCCTGTTATACCAAACATATGACTCATGTTTTTTTTTTCCTGGATAATATTAAATCTTGTACACAAGTCAAACTTATATAACCTTCTGTGTTGATCAAGGTTCCTACCTGATCCCGCTCCCAGCAGCAGAACTAGCCAACTGTGCCGATCTGGGGACCCTCTGCCAAGGTAGGGAGCCAGCGTTGTCCTCTGGAGTCTCTCTGTTTTCTTCTTGCTATTTTGGATAATGGCATTTTTATTGTTTTGATTTGTATCTTAATTTTCTCTTGGGAAGTCAGAAACCAGAAAAACAGAAGAATTTCTGGATGTGTTTTAGTTGCGTGGGTGCACAGTACGTACAGTGTGGAGAAAGAATGCATTCACAGACTGGATGACCACATTTCCATAAAGCACTGAGTTTTTTAAATGTGAATGATTATATGCTATTAACCAAGGGTTGATTTCATTTTTCCCCTCTATGTCTCCTCAAGAATATTGCAAAGGTCCAGTATAAATACAGTCATACAATGTCTTGAAAAAGTATTCATGTCTAAAAAACAAGAGGAAAAATTAAGTTGAATATTCAGTTACGCTTAAGACAAGGCTGTGAGGCAATTTATGAGGTGCAATGTAACTTAAATATTGAAATGAAATTAGTTATACTAAACTAATATTAATATAATTTTATTAGTTATTATAATGCATAGTGACTACATTATGCCAGCATTCTAATGATATATTATGGACTAAACAGTTGCATGCTAAATAATACATAATTAAAGTCCTGAATGTTTTAAACTTATATATTTTGCTTTAATTTTATTATCGCTGTTCCTAATTTCCATGACCCATTTTCATTCATTTAATCTATTAATACTTCTTTGTTCTATATACCACATTAAGAATCATGATCATGCCTTTTATAAAAGCTGGATCTCTTATTAGGAGGAACATAGCATGAAAGTGACCTGGGTTAGAAGTGAGACTAAATGAATAGAAACTAAAGGTGTCTTCTGTGGTTCCAGTGTGGAAGTGGGGTTTTAATTCATTATTATCTTGTTCCCTTTCTGAGGGATTATTCCTGATATTATTATCAATGAGTACCTTATGAAAATAAAAGTATTAAGTGGTTTCCATAAACTCAGTGTAGTTTAAAAGTAATTATCTGACACAGAAAAAAATAATTTTGCCTAGTTCAAGACTAAAGGTTTTTAAAAATTACTTATTTTTTCTTTTAATCTGAGATACCTATAGTACTGATTCCTTGGGTCACAGGACCAGATGCCCAGCTATCCACCCCCCTGTGTCCTAAATGACAAGAAACAAAACAAAACATTTTCCTGTTTATTGATGCATTTTGCATTAAGATAAATATAACTGACTGTTTACCATTTTTTTTAAAAAGAATTCAGAAAGAATCCCCATTCTTAAATATTACATATCACTTGGAAATGGCAAATTTTTTAGTTAAGAAAGAATATTTTGAAACAAGAAGTTTGGTATTTTCTACAGATCCCTTAGAAGGTAATTACTTAAATTTAGGTAATTTTAAAAAATGAGACACACAACAAATGTTTATTGTCCATATGAAAGTACATTAATACAAATGTTTTAGTTTATCCCTAGGATAAACTAAAGGAAAATTATATGTATAGTGTTTCTACTACTTATACAGGGTAGGGCAAAAGTAGGTTTAGCATTGTTTGAATGGAAAAAGACATGAAGGTAATGATTATTACAGTAGCTTTATTAACTCTATGTTTCATGTATTCACAACTGTAAGCCTACTTTTGCCCCACCCTGTATATCTCCTTCAGAATTCCAAAGAAAAATATTTTCAAAGCATTACATAAGAATTTCATCTTTGAGTTTTAGTAATATCAGAAGCATATCTATGACATAATGCTTTGTAAATGTTTCCCCCTTAGGCTTGTCCTTATGAAATCCATTTTGTCCATCACTGTTCAGTAAAGTTATTGGGATCTATAAATGATTGATTCAGTCTATACATTTTATTCTTTCATTTTGTTTATTTCATCTTCTCAAGGAGAAATATGTTTTTCTCTGAGATTTCATTTCTCTGTTCTTAGTGAATCAGGAAGACTGACTTAGTTTGGATCATTTTCAAGCTGATTGGTGTGATAGAGAATGTCTCCTCTAACCTTTTGCTTTTACAAACTTAGGAAACTGAGTTCTGTAAAGGTTTACTTATTCACAGTGTGGTCATCCGCCTGTTAATTGCAGACATAGGTCTAGAATCTAAATGCCCTTTCTCCATTTCCTCTGTGCCAGATCCAGACTATTGCAATGTGATACCAAAGGCCATGTGAACTGATTCTTACTGTGCCATAGAAAGCATTGCTTTATTTTATGCATTACAACCTCAGAGTCTGTTGTAGTTAATGGGAAGAAATAGTTTCCATTCCTTCTCTATGTAGTGTCATGAATTAATTATAGGTTGCTCATCCATATTAACTGCCATGTGCTCCTTGCAAAATTACATTTTTCTCATCTTTGTTAGCAGCTACTGTAAGCTCTCCTAGTACTACACCACCTACTGTCACCACTAACATGCCTGTTACTAATAGAATCGATAAACAAAGGAATGGTAAGAAACTACCTTTTATATTTGTAATATGTCTGATGTAATAAAAATTGTATTTTCAGGGTGGAAATATCTAATGTTTCAACAAAGTTTCTATTATTGGAATCAACTGGTACATTTGCACGACTAGTAAAATAAATAAAATCCCTTGGTTCTCTTGAGTTCCTCATTCTAGTGACCAGTGGAATGAGTTCACTTCCAGTACCACTCATCTGTACTTTTAGCTAAAATTTCTTTCAAAGGAAATTTTATGAGAAATTCATTTGATGAAAAGGAATGAATTTATATTATGCTAGAGACAGCAGAAAAAACATTTTTTTCATGGTCTTTTGTTAGATTACTCTCTTCAGGAAACTACTTTCTAAAGGGTTTTATAATTTTAAAAATCTACTTTTAGTAATTTAACTTTTCACTAAAGCCAACTTTATGTTTAAATATTTGTGACATTTAAATTACTTTACATGGTAATAATTTGCTCTGTGTTTTTATTTGTTGACCAATAATGATTAGAATATGATTGTCTATCAACTAAATCATAAATCAATCAGTTTCCTATATGGACCATATACATAGCCTTTTGGTAATTCAGAGTAAATGATTTTAGTTTCTTCTGAAAAAGAGAAATTCCAATCAGGTGACTACACCATAGCCTCAAATACAGTAATATTCTCAAACATGAGGTATTAGAAACAAAGAGATTTTCTCACTCCAATAATTTAAGTTGTGAGGCCAAGACATCTGTTAATGTAGCACCAGGGACCAAAACCCAGAGAAAAGAAACATACATAGTTAATTTTTTCTTTTGGCTTTGGGGTTACATCAACTTCCTCTGTAAGGACGTTTAAATTGGAAGTATGGAATATTTTACATGAAATGTAAAGGGTTATAAAGACATCGATTCAGGGAAGTGTTTATGGTTATTCTGGTAGTTACACCAAGGAGATTTATGATGGAGCAAAAATTCCAGCAACCCCCAAGAAAGCAACAGCAGCTGAAGTTTCCAGTGCATATTTCACATGGACGCCAGCCAGTAGATGGGAATATTATAATTCTAACGAAGTACTTCGTTCTTTGTATGAACATACAAAGAGCCTCTGTGGCATTCTCCCTCCAGGACTGGCACATCCTCTACTGCCCAAGAACATTTATATGATGTTACAGAGTCCTTGACTTGGTGGAGTAGAGCTGTATTCACCCAGTCGTGTCATTTCTGACATTCTTGAAGAGAGCCTTGTTTACTCCATATCTCTCTGCGTCATAGCCTTTATTGGAGTTTCAACAAAGCAAGCAGATGTTAAAGTCAATTGAAATGGTTTGGCGACCACATTTAAGAAAAATATTCTAATTCAGATGATTCTTGATAAAAATATAATCTTAGCATTTTAAAATATTTAAAAATATTTATAGGTTATCATGTAGTAGAAATAATTTCAAAATTGTGTATTCAAATTTGTATACCATCTTTTAATCACATCCTTGAACCATCTCTATTATCCATTTCATAGGAGTGGTGTTTTTTCTAAATTGGCTCACTTTTTTTTTTGCTTAAACATTTTTATTTGGATGGAAAAAATTGATATCACTGCTGTAGAATTAAAGCATAGCCACTGGTTTTAAAAAAGAAGTGAAAATAAATATAATGAAAACAATGTCATTGGATTCTCCCTATATCCTATTGCTTTCTCACATCTCAGCCCCCAAAGCCTTTATTGTCTTTTTTTATAAGGGAGAGTAACAGTTAGAGATAGATGATAATCTAAGTAAGATTTTTTCTTTGATGTAGTCAAATTTGCAATAATTGAAGAGAATTACTTGTTCACCTTGTGAATAAGTGGGATTTGATGTCATGTCCTGGACTATCTAAGATCATTCACATACTGCCAACAATTTCTGATGCACTTTTTTTATTCTTTGAGAATCTGATATAGTGAACATTCTCAGGTCTATGATCTGATATAAGAGTGGAGCAAAAGTAGTTTAAAGTTGTTCATATGGAAAATAATACAGTAATTAATAAATAATAATACATGAATAAACTCAGTATTTCGTGTACTCACAATTGTAAACCTACTTTTGCCCACCCTGTATTAGAGAATTTATTTTGTTCACTGTAAGAAAGATGAGCGAACTGTCAAATCTATTTTCTACCTTACCTGCGTTCTTAAACTCTGGACTATCAAAGAGTTTTACTGTGTTCATCAACAGAGAGGGGAGTGGGGTTGAAATTGGTTAACAATCAGACATATTTCTTCAATATATCAATTAAATGTTCTTTTCCCACTTTTGTGAAATGTTCCTATTTTTCTGTGTCAAGAATTTTTTTGTTATTTTCAATAGGACTTTGATATGATACCTCAGATTATATACTAAGAAAATCTTATCTTTTAAGCTACTTTTCACAGATATTTCAGGAACTACTGGATAACCTAGTTATTTTCACATATAACTTTTAGCCTTTTCTATTATATTCCCAAAAAAGCTCTTTGATTAATTTTTGTTTCCATTCAAAATTACATTTTCTATGCTTGCAGCATCACTCTAATGCTACTGTGTGTTAAACTTTTGTGAGGTCAGCAACCCAAGTAAGGAAATACCTTTGTTAGTCTTTACGGTTCTAAAAACCTAGCTTACAAGTGATATAGTAACACTGCTTCTAGTTTCTCACATGCATTTAAGTACTCAAATAAAAAATATCCTCTCATGATATTTGTATGGATCCAACAATCAATCTAGCTGTACTTAAAGAAATTGTGTGTGTAGGATGAGCAGGGCTCCTGTCATATTACAAATACCACTGTCATATCGTAATTGTCTCATCACTAGTTCAAAGAAATAAACTTGAATCTAAAATAACATTTGCTTTATAAATGAACATCTACCTTTTCAAATATATATTTTAAAATCTACCTTTCAGCACTGGTGGGTTTGATTCCTGGTCAGAACACATACCTAGGTTGTATGTATTCGATCCCTGGTTGGGGTGCCTGTGGGAGGTAACTGATGTTTATCTCTCGCCTCTCTCTCTCTCTCTCTCTCTCCCTCCTTTTCTTCTCTCTCTCAAATAATTTTTTAAAAAATATCCTCAGTGAGGATTTTTAAAAAAAATCTACTTTTCAAATCTATATTTCACAACCTTGACTATAGAGTAAAGTATGTCATTTTTGTATCTTCTAAGAAACTCCAAAAAGTGTATTAAGAAGACAAAAAGGAAAAATTAAATTGGAGAAAGATCTCCAGACAGGAATAAGATTTTTTAATATCATGTGTAATGGCAAATAATAATTCGTAGTTTGATATTCTTCATGGCTTGAAGTGTTATCTAATTGAAAAATGGATATATTCTTACACACTTTTTTCCCCAAAGAAATGTCTCTCATGAATTTTTCTGGCCTGGGTGCCATTATTAGGAAAAAGCATTCATCTTTTGATGTCTCTGGAACAAATGAAGATTTGTGAATAGCTTTTCTATTGAGTCACTGTGGGAGTTGTAACGTTTATAGGGAAGACTGCGAGGATGACATGGAAAAGCCTGCATCAGTGTCTTCATTGTGCATTTTCTGCACTGGCTGTGCTTAACCAGTTATTTTGCTGCAACTCAAAACCCCTTTCACCAACCCTTTGGTGGACATTTTATTTTGTTTTGACAATTCACTCTTGGACATTCCTCAGGATTAATTGTTAACTACATTATTCAAATTTTTAAAAATAAGTATAACAAGTAGCCTCTGCTGAGTAGCTTTCAGCTAAGTATAAAAATACCACATTCTGAGGCTTCTGAGGAGAGACTACTTGATAATGATCCACAGCACAAGAGAATCTGTAACACAAGATGCTAGGTTTTTTGGCATATTCACATATTTTATTTGCTTTCAGAAATGTAACTCTAAGGAGAGTACTATATTTATAAATTGATTTAGTCTGCCTCAGATGTCTTTTTCATTTATAAAAACAGTGAACTGAAAAAAGTGAGGTAGAAAATATTTAAAATTTAAAGAAAAGTATCTTAACTATTTGGATGCTTCTATAAAATTTCAGAAATGTCAGTGATATAAAACACTGATAATTAGTATTTTGTAATATTTTCCTGAGAGGGAAAGATTGCTAACTACTGTTGAACAAACACATGCTTTAGATCTCCATCTAGTGGCAGCTTTTCAGTTACTATACTGGCATCAGGGAACATTCACAGAAGATCCCTAGGAATCTGAACTAAATATAGAATCCTGGACCTCTGCAACTTGAATTTCCTCTCAATCACTTGGAATGTCCATGTTTTGATATGATAAGATCTAGAGTATAAAGGGTTTTTTGTCCGAATTATTATTTATTTTAAATATCTTTCTCAATATTTCCATTCAGAATATTTTTAAGAGAATACAAATTCAAGATCATTCAAATAACTGAAGACTTTTAGAAGCTAAAATAACATAATCTTTATAAATTAATCTCACTTGGACCTGTATCAATTTCATATATTTATATGACATCTAGAGTGGTGATATTTTTTTTTGATTTTTTTTTTTTTTTGCATAAGATTCTGACCCATAGATTGGAAAAACATTCCTTTAGTAATTGGATAGCAATTTACATTTTGGTAGATTCGGGAGGAATACTTTTTGTAATTTTTTGGTACTGCTCCCCAAAATCTTTATTAAATCCATTTCTTATCATTGTTTTAATTACATATTTCTATGTTTTCTATGTATATTTTACTCAAGACATACCAAAACATAAACATGAAGAAAGATGATTGACTATAGAGGAGATTCAAATTTTTTTTTTCTCTCAGTAACCTATTATATTTTAGCATGGTGCCCTGTAACAAGCATCTAGAGAGATTTAGCAGGTCCTGGCTGATGAGTTTGGTGTGTGTGTGTGTATGTGTGTAGTGTGTGTGTGTAGTATACTACTTTAAAGATTGCCCCCCCACCCCCCCCAAAAAAAAGCAGAACTTTCTCTGACATTGTTTTATTTTTTAAATCAAGGTAGTACAATTGAAATTCTTTCTGAAAATATTATTTTTTCCCCTCTACTTTGGTACAAATGACTACATTCATGAAATTTTGATGAAAAAAATAAGTGAAATCCAACCCAATAACTTAGTAGAAGTAAAGCTTTGTTGGGGAGGAGAAAGAAAGGAAAGGGAGAATAAGGGGCCCAAGTAGTAAATATGTGTAAGCCTGTTCTTTTTCAAGTTACTGTCTGCCCATCATCCCACTCGCTTTCACATGCCCAACTCTTTATAACGTACAAAAAAAGGATAAGTTCTTATTGCAAGAAACCAAAGTGTACATGAAGGGTCACTACTTTACAGACCATAGATATCAGAAATTTATAGAATTTAAAAATAGGAAGAAATGTGCAGGTGAGGATTTAGGAGCAATGAATGAAGTATCTATATGTATAATCAGTAACTCTAAGAAGTTGCAAAGGTCAGTGAACATAAAGTAAAAAAATCTCAATTTTTCTGTACCTGTGTAGATGTTTCTTTTAAATTGTATGAAATTATATGATTGTAGATTTACCTTAATAATTATATGGCTCTGAAATATAATTAATGGGCTAAATCCTATTTCTAATGGACAGATGGAATTATCTATAGAATTTCCATAGTGATTCAAAACATCCTTCATCACCCTGAGGTAAAAGTACAGAACAAGGTGGCAGAATGGGTAAGTGAACTTGTAAAATTTCTTTTTTGTTTTTATACTGTTAACCTCTGGAAATCTGGAAAAGACCTTGCTGTTTGGCTAACTCAATCCACAGATGATACTGGTACATAGGTGTTGTTCATTATAAATGTATAAATTGATAAGTACGTGAGGTATTATGCTTATGCATAGAAAGAGAAGTGCATTTGAAAAAAAGGACAAGAAACTGAGCCTAATAGACTATTCATGTCCAAACGAGAAATGCCACACAAATGGAAATGTGTGTTGGTAGGTATCTTTATTTGCTATAATATGCATGCATTTTCAGCACTATTTTTAAAAGTATATTTCTTATTTTATTATTTTTTGAGAATTTTTGTATCAAAAACAAAAGGTATAAAAAGATATACAGTAGGTCCTCGAATATGCCATTTCATTCATGTCATTTTGTTCTAACACTGATGAGATGCCATAGATACTTGATTCTTATTTACATCAATTAGCCTATGGTAAAATGAGTTTCATTATACATAATTTTGCTTAAAGTCACAGAAGCTATTGATGACTTTAAGCAAGGACTTACTGTATCATGAAAGTCTTCCACCCATCCTTGTAGCTTACATGGAGATGAACCTGGAAATCACTGTTTTTTTTCTTGGGTTTTTTTAGAATTTGTGCATATAAAAGAAAGTAAGATTGTTTTATCCCTTTTACACTAAAAGTAACATATTTTACACACCATTCTTATTTTTGTTATTACCAGATTTATAACATTAGTACATAGAGACCTCCTTTTATCTTTTTTTTTTTTAAACACTGCATAGGGTTCCATGATGTGGCTGTCATTTATTTGCATCATTTGATGCATATTTACAGTATAATTTATTTAACCTGTATTATATTGCTGAAATTTTTTGTAATTTTCAATTTAAAAACTTTAATATGTTTTCTTTTATATTTTTCTTCCTTATACAGTATAAAAAATTTTCTTTCACAGATTTTCATTATTTTTTTAATTTTTCCTATCTATGGTAAACTGTGGTACTTTGAACTACTTTTTATATATAATCCTATTACAGTTAAACAGCTGTTGTGAATAAAGTCACTTGGATATACATTCTGAAGTAAGAAAAATAGTTTTTTATAGGTGCCTAATAAATGTGTCCTTGGTGGCAAAAGAGAGTTAAACCATTCTTTGAGACGTAGTGGTGACAATATATTATATGCATGTAACATATTTGAATGATAGGAAAACATAGTCTTATTTTTAAAGGTTACACCCTTTAAAACAAGTTGATCACAGAAAATAATAGTATGTAATTAACAACTCTATTACAAAACTGGGGGTAAAAGTGAAATTCTCTAATAGAAGTTGAAGAAAATGCTACTGTTGACTTTTTGGAATGACACATTAACTGTAGTGATTAATTTAAACACTGGAAGATATTTCATTTCTAAACAGAGAGCGGTCTTGACAGAAAGAGTATATTATTGCATCCCATTTTTTTTCTAGCATTGTTCTTTTTTTAAAGTCAGAGTGTTTTCAAAAGATAAAACTCTTTATTTTCATTTCCAAATAAACCACGTCTAATGTTATGAATCTCAAAAATTAGTCTTCACTGGAGAATCTGCTTTAGAGAGGTATCATTTTACATTTATACTTATTTCAGGAATGCTTTTCAACATAGGATCATTCTCATCAGAAGCTAAGCTTTGCTGGACACTATCAGCTTAAGATGCATGATACCAAAGCAGATACTTGATAACAGAGGAAATATAAGTGGTGTCCCTGATTCATATTATTACTATTACAATATAAAAAGTTAGCTTTTATTGCCAGAATTTCATAAAATTTACATTTAATTTTAGAATTTTTGCAAGTAATGCTAAATGTTTATATGAGAAGTGACCTAAAAAAGAAACCCTTTGGGAGTGATATATAAATAAGAGAATTTCACATCAGTAAGGAAATCCTGTTTTGTGATTGTATTGGACAATGCATAATGAAAATTGATTATTTATAATGAGAAGAATCATTGCTTCATTAAAAAGTCTGGTGCTGAGACCTAAAAAGACTGTTAAATAACCAGATAATAATTAACATAGCTCCCAAAATGTTGGATATACTTCTTGTTTATTTAAAGGTTTATACTGTTGACATAATTTTTCTTAGTACTAATATTTTTATGAGATTGTAATTACTAGGAAAACATGTTATTGCCCCTTGGTGTCTGTTGAATGAAGACTGTGGAAGTGTTTATCATTTCCATCTTCCCTCTTATAGCTTAGTTCTCAGTGTTAGGACTAACTCGGCAGCCCATTATAATATGAGCTGGAGGGGAAAGCATAGTGTTTCCAGACAGACTTGAGTTCCAATCTGGAATCTACTCATTCTTAGTTGGGTAACTTTGGGCAAGCTATTCCATCTCTGTTAAGCTCAGTTTCTTCATTGAAAAGGCAGCAGGGGCAGATAATACCTATCTCATTCGTTGTCTTGGGTCAAAAGAAATAACATTTGTAAAGTTCTTGGCATACAGTGATGTAGTAACTGTTATCTTTACCTTTCTTTCACTCCTTTTGCTCTCTGGGATTTTCCCAGGGTCTTATTCCAATAATAACTTACCTTTTGGGAGGGAAGAAACTTGATTCAGATTTTTTTTTAAAGTTTTACCAAAACTCACCCTTTCCATTGTATTTTTCAGCTTAATTCAACCTTCCAGAATTGGAACTATACTGTTTACGTGGTTAATATCAGGTAAGTGACAGGATGAATTATTTGAGAAATAAAAAGTAGTATCTAATTTTATATTACTCTATCTTTCTCTGATTATACCCACACACACAGCACACAATACACACATATGCCATATTCATAATCTTTCTACAACAATTCTATATTATGTTTTTTCTTTACACAAAAGCTTCAGTGTTGCAGCAGTAATTTAAAAAAATTATTGATTTTGGATCCTAATCATTTTATTTTTAAATTTGGCCTGTACTCCCAAAATATATTTGTGATTTTAAAAGAAATTATATATACACTAGAGGTCTGGTGCATGAAATTTGTGCGTGAGTAGGGTCCCTAGGCCTGGCCGGCGATCAGGGCCAATCGGGGCCTTCTGGCTGCTGGCCGGGGCCTCCCTTCATTCTGTGCCACCCCTGGTGGTCAGTGCTCGTCATAGCGAACTCCTGAGGGGACACTTTGCATATTAGGCTGTATGTGTGTGTGTGTGTGTGTGTGTGTGTATGTGTTACTTAATGAATATATTATATGTTATAATGTACCACAATTGAAAAGACGATAATTAAATATTAGTTTCTTCTCAGATCCCAGGAGGCCATCTAGAGCATCCCCTGGGTTGCATGCACCCTAGTTTGGAGACCATTTTTTATAAGATAAGGCATCTACAGTCTGATTGTAACCTAACTTTTCAAAATTATCTCTCACTCTTCTATTTAAATACTTCACTAAAGCTCAAGCAAATAGTTGCACCATATATGCTCCTCTGACCTTGTTTTCACAGTTTTATACTAAAATTAGCTTTCTAAAATGTATTTTGTGAACCCTAAGCATATATTCTATATACCCAAGAGACATAATAACACAGAGAAAGGGATCAATTGGTCAAATGAGATCAGGAAGTACATTATTAAATAAACTGAAGCCACTCTAGATATCTCAGATGCTTTAGTATTATACTGACATGCATGTTCACCTTGAAAAGAAAGCAAGGGAACTTAGTTGCTTAGCTTATTTGACTGTGCAGCTAGTTTTTGTGATGTGCATATGAAAAAAACTAGAACTACTCAGAACACACATTTGGAAATACTGCCTTAGAATGTACATTCTGCCTTTTTCTTTCATCTCCTCAAATTTTGTGGTGTAGTAATAGCATATCAGATGATAATGAATCTATATATTTTTATTTATAGTTTACACCTGAATTCAGGAGAAGACAAGGTTAAAGTCAAGAGAAGCATTGGGACTGATCAAAGGTAACACTGAGAAAGTCTTACAGAAAGTATAACACCCTGCCTCTTGCCCTCTGTTTAACTCTCTGGTAGAGAAATTAAAACAATAAGATAAGAGAGAAACATTTTAATCACATAGCACGTTTAGATTATTTCTTTATCTTTAATGCACACTAACTACTATCTTTCTTATAGCTGAAACTTTAATATAGCAGAATGGATACAAGTATACATCTGATGAAAAATAATTCAGAAGTAGGATATTTAAAATGGATGAATTATTAGTTTAGTATTTTCAGTTTTATTTTTATAATAACCATTTACCTCTCATTTCAAAGATACCTTCAAAGAAAAATAAAATTGTTTTAGCTTTTTTAAAATAAGGCATTTATGTATGATAGCATCATATAATAATATGGACAATAGGTGCCAAAATATGTCCTTCATTTGAAACCATCAGTTAATTTTCTGAAGTCTCCATTTTAAACTTATATCAAGATCATGACTGAAACAGGCAGATAATTTAATGGATATTGGACCGTATATAATCAGTTGGCATACAAAAAAGACAGCAATTCAGAATGACATATACTGAAAAACAACCTAACCTCCTAAATGGAATAAATTTAGTTATGTTTATGTACTATTTTGCATCTCCATAGAATTAAAAAGTAATTACTAGAAGAGCAAAAGTTTACATAAGTCTTGCTCTGTTTCAATTGACTGAATTTAAATTATGGATTTACAACCATAATGATGGAATAAACTTTCTTTTCAGGTGATATATTATTATTATAAGAAGATAAAAATAAAATTTCATATGAGAGTTGACCAGCAAGTTTTCTTGTTCTTTTTCTGTTCAACACTAAAAAAAAAATTCTTTAACGTTATATTTGAAGCTTATCATTTCTGTATATATTCAACAGACTAGATCGAACCACCTGATTAGGGAAAGTTTTTATTTTGTCAAATTCATTTTCCTTTATTATCTGAGGGCTAGAGTAATGTATTTTAATACTATATTCTTAATGGATATTTCTCCTCTATTTAGCCAATCAATTTCTCCTCTAATCCTTATTGCTAGATCATAGTGAGCCTCCACTAGTGAATCCAGCGGTGATCAGCATCCCTTGCTGGTTACTGTCTAACACTTGGGGCCACCCTAGTTTCAGGTATCACCAATAGTAGAATCTGTTAGGGGATCAGCCTTGCCCTCTTTAGTTCATTTACTGTAATTCTTCCACTACCTGACAGTACTACAATCAGCCAACAATAGTATATGTCAACACCTCAGAAACTCTTGCTTGAAAGAAATTTAAAATCATGGAGTCTCGGTTTCCTGTCTGTCAAACCACTGGGTAACTTCACAGAAAATTATAGGGAGAGTGAACTATGACAGTGTATCTAGGAAAATCGACACGTTTAGTTTTTCTTTGGTATGAACTTTTGACGTTTTTTGAAAATTTATTCTCATAGTTTTTCCCACCCTCTCTTTTTTCCTACTTTCTAATTCTCTTAATAAACCTTTATAGTCTCTCATAGTTTTTCTTAAAACCATAGTCTACTAGTTTTACACATACTCTTTTTTTCCCCCAAACTTTCCTTTCAATTTGATTGTAACACTTAACACAGACTAGAGCTTCAGGTAACACCATCACACTCCCATCGCCTAGACAGACAGGAAACCAAAGCCAAAGAGACTGGTTTATTCAAATAAAGAATGATTGATGCTAACAACAGATAGAACTTGACTTTGTAGAGCTACAAAATAGTTTTAGTTTTCAGGATGAGAGAGGAAAACAATCCAGATAAGACCTGTAACAATATGTGCTCGCTCATTCTTGAATTGCTGAATTGGGTATTCAACAATGCATTGTGCTAATTATGTTCTCAATATTCAAGGGCAGTATAAGGTCACAATCCCAACTAGAAGTTCTCAGTAACTGGAGTGGCAAAACTTATTTTTCAATGATAATTTAATCAATGGTTACTTTTTTTTTTAATAAGCCATGTTAAAAACTATTATGCCAGTTCACTCAAATCTATGTTTGAATCATCTTGAAATGTGTCTTATACATGAACATTAAGCAGTACATCATTTTGGAGATAAATAGCCCTTCAAAGTGAATTATGAAAACAGTAGAGCATTTTGTTCTTGAGATTAGTACAGGTATTTAGGGGGAAAATAGAACTCTTCTTTAATTTCCCCTAACCTTCAATAGCAAAGATTTCACTTTTTCTTTTTAGCACCACTAATATATTAATACTCTGATTTTTTCATTTTTATTGGTACCCCCAGAATTTTATAAATAAAATCTACAACGCTGCTCTATTGAGTGCTTCATAGTTATTTTGAAATCAGTGACTTTGGCATGTGGACAGTCACTGATATTGATAATATAATGACTTAGGTCATATTATTCATTTCTCCTCAGAATACGAAGATTAAAGTTCTGTTGTAAACCCAGAGTTTTCACATATAAGGGAAAATATTGTTCTTCTACCTGACAAAATAATGTCATTTAATTTTCCCTCAATGTTAAATTAATAGTTTTCATTTCTGCTGTTGACTATGGCTGTGATTATAGTTCAGCCAAAAATTATATTACTTCAAATTATAGAGCCAAAAGTTTGGATAGGACTTTTAGGATACATCTCTGTTTCCCATAGAAGTATATATATTTTAAAACATTCAAAGTCTATAAACTTCTTAATATACTGGTCAATCACTGACTATATTTTGTAACTTTTCACCATGCAAAGTATTTGCAAATATTCCATTGAGATGGAGAATCAGTTATCACAATTCTGGAGAAATTGTAACACACGAATAATTTCAAAAGTAAAATGATCAGTGTACTCAGATTGTTGAAATTCAATTTTTCTAACAAACTTTATTTTTGGCTATAAAGAAACTAAAATTAACCACATGTTCCTTTCTTGCATGTATGCTATAAAATATCACTAAGAGTGTTTTGCAAAAGAAATGGGTTATTAAAAAATAATTTTTTAAAAAATCAGAGATTAACCAAAGAAATATGCATATATGCAAGATCCATGGACATAGACAATAGTGAAGTGAAGGCATGGGATGGTGAGGCAGGTGCTGCGTGGAGGGGGGTCAATGGGGAATAAGAGGGGGGATATCTGTAATACTTTCAACAATAAAGATACATTTTAAAAAGTCAGTTTAGCCCCAGTAGCCTAATGGATAAGGCACTGGCCTCCTAAAAAGTCAGTTTAAATGATAAAAAAAGAAATGGAGTGATGTGATATATGAGCATTATAAAATAATATCCTATAAAATCCATTTACATTGAGATATTTTTGACATTATCATTTATACAGCAATAGAAGTCTCTGTATGCCTTGGAATATCTTTTTAGTGTCAGCCCTTTATGGTCATCCCTCTTACTGCCATATCCAAATGTTCTGTTTTTCTACATAAAAACAGCCAACCCAACAACAGTTCTATCTACAATGTTTCCCTAGGTTGGCGATTTGGGCCCTTCTGGTTTACAATGCTACCAACAATCTGAATTTAGAAGGAAAAGTCATTCAACAGAAGCTCTTAAAAAATAATGAGTCCCTGGATGAGGGCTTGAGGCTATATACAGTGAGTGTGAGGCAAGTGGGTAAGTGCCTTTAATTTTTTTATTATATGTATTTTACATGATTATATGTTCAGGTTTAATCGAAACAACAGAAATATTCTTCCTATGTATGTTGTTTCCTTATTTAAAGCTATTTTTTCTGATGATGAAACATCATAGTGGTGATATTGTAACAAATTGATGACATGGTTAGCGTAGAAGAAATCAACTCGATGCCTATGAATCTAAAGAAATGAAAGAGGCAGGGGAGAATTTATACTCTCTTTTAGGGATGTATTATGAAAATACTAAGGGTATGAGCACAATGCCAGGAGAGTCTTGAGCAGAATTGGCTTCAACTTTAGGAATAAAGAGTGTGTCTATATATGCATATGGGAACACGAATGAGGTAAATCTTAAAAAAGGTAATTTCTTATCATAAAACACTTCCTTCTTTTATGTTTTTTGTCTTTATTAATGACACTACTTTGCAGGAATAGGCCAGAAATCTGGGAGTTATCCAGAGCTTAAATTCAATTCTTATCTAGACACCATACACAGCCTAAGCTCCAGCCACACAGGTGGTACTGCTTGAAATTCCTCAGCATGCTGTGCCTCCTTCCTTTGTCTTTACTCATGCTGCTCTTCTCTACTCTCACCATCCACCTGCTCATCACCTACCTAGTTTTAAGGAGAACCCAGAGTCACCTCTTCTATAAAGCCTTTTCTGTCATCATCCATGTATAAATAGATGTTACTGCCTTTGAGCCACTACTCTATGTATGGTCTTCTAATGTCTACAGTACTCTAGGTATCTTGATAGTAATATTATGAAAAGCAAATGATCAAAAATGTGGACAGTAGAAAGTACTAGTAAACTTAGAAAGGGAGAGAGAGGGAGAAACAGCGATTTGTTATTCCATTTATTTATGCATTCATTGATTGCTTCTTGTATGTACCCTGACCTGAGATTGAACCCGCAATGTCGGCCTATCAGAACAAGGCTCTAATCAACTGAGCTACCCAGCCAAGGCTTATTCTAATGTTATTCTGTGATTACAACTATTAGGTACATTAGTAGAGATCAAAAGATTACAAGGTACAGTAGTAGAGATCAAAAAAAACCTTTGACACTTGGCCTTATACACACGCAGGAGGTTGAAGTGGGGGAAGCTAGAATTCCTCAGTCTCTGGGACCATGGTTATAACTGAAGCCAGACACAGTGTAATAAAGAAGCAAGCATCTTCCCTTCTACCAGGAACCTCCCATCTCTAATGTATCAACTTACACAGTTGCAGAGAACTCACAGAAATGGAAGAACACAAATCGTCATTGTCATCATCATCAACAGTTTCTGAGCCTCTTTGGGAAAATGCTTGCTTATTTACAAACGGGGCTTCTTGGGGGTGGGGTGGGTACAGATGCTGCCCTTTCACACATAGATGTCTCCACAAAGAAGTAGCTTGACGAATGGTAGTTTATATATGATGAAGGATCCCTGTGAGGACAGGCCTTACTCTGTCTTCCAAGGCTGAGGAACCCCAGAACAACTCTCTCTGGATACCTTGACATGTAATTTATACCACTTAATTTAAATCCTATACTTTATTGTTTTACTGCAAGTGGATCTGTGAAGAAAAGTTTCTACTAATTGAAAAAAAATAGGCTAACCCTTGACAATTTTAAGGTTCCAAATATAGGTGGGAAAGTCATTTTAAATGTTCAATCGGTGACTGCAGTATTGGTTCCCAGCAGTATGGTATAACTTTCCACATTTTTTCAGTACTGAAATATAAGATTTTGTTGTTGTCATTGTTATCAATATATTGGTTTTCTGTTGATGTTTTAAAAATATATTGTTATTGATTTCAGAGAGGAAGGGAAAGGGAGAGATAGAAACGTCAATGATGACAGAGAATCATTGATCAGCTGCCTCCTGCATGCCCTCCACTGGGGATTAGCCACAAACCGGGCATGTGCCCTGACTGGGAATCAAAACATGACCTCCTGGTTCACAGGCCGATGCTCAACCACTGAGCAACACCAGTGGGACTCTTGATATTTTTTAAGTTGTAAAATCTGAATCATTTATAGGATGGCACTTATTGAGAGAGTTTTCAAACAACAGGTGGGATGATTTGAGGATGGAGGCATGTGTGTAAGATGTGTGGCGGTGGACACAGGTGTCTTCTTTTTTTTTAATATATATATTTATCGATTTCAGAGAGGAAGGGAGAGGGAGAGAGAGATAGAAACACCAATGATGAGAGAGAATCATTGATCGGCTGCCTCCCTCCCACACACCCCTCACTGGGGATCGAGCCCGCAACCCAGGCATGTGCCCTTGGCTGGAATTGAACCTGAGACCCTTCAGTCTGCAGGCTGATGCTCTATCCACTGAGCCAAACCAGCTAGGGCACACAGGTGTCTTCTTGCCATTCCCCCAGCAAACTAATAGGCAGAAGATGCTTTCAGAGCAGCTGGACACTTTTCCAGAAAATATCCCCACAACTCAATGATGACATTATTTTATAGGCTTTCCCCTTTGAAAAAAGATCAGAGGAGAATTTACATTTTGAAGTTTTCAGGACCGTTTTCATTTTATATAGTGTTTTTTTAAATAAACCTTTATTGTACTCATTTTACCTGCTAATGATTTCCTTTAGAGTGATATATTCTCTTAAGTGTATGGTTTTATTTGATGGTGTGTAAGCTGTAATAATTTTTGCATCTGAAATGGAGTAAATGGTTATTTTTCCAAATTTCTAATTTCAGATTTTTACAAATTCAGAACACAAAAATCTAGTAATTTGGTGGTACATGAAATAAATACCTAATTAGCAGCATTGCTATCTTGCTGTCATCTTGCACCTCTAACTTCAAAGAATAGATTAATGTTTCTCATGTTGGTTCTTGTTTTCACAAAGGCACATGTCCTGCGGAGGAGAAACCCAAAGGCTTTTACTGGCCAGTCATCCTACCTTCTGAATACAGGCATCCCTGTCCAGGGAAGCCGGGCTTTTATGCTTCACGGACCTGGTAATACCTTCATTGACTTTTGCCAGCAAAGTTCACATCATCATACCTTCCCAGGGTTCCACATGTTGCACCACATTTCCCAGGCATTGTTTATTGTTTAGAAAGAAGGGCAAGAATCTCTATGTGTGCCTAAATGATAACCTCCATGAGAGGTAAGGATGAGGCAGGTTACCGATAAAAGCGTTTTTACTCCAGGCAACGTTTGAATTTAGCCTTCTCCAAAGAAAGATGGAGACATTTGGAAACCAGATGGTATCTCTAGAGCAAAGCACCTTATATATGGATGAACCAAGCTAGCTGACAGCCTTTGGCCATGCATGTGAAATTCCAAGACTTTTTTAATTACCTGGGATAGCTATTGTTGCAGGGGGAAGAGGCAGCCAAAGAGGGAATGAAGATAGGATCTGGGTCAGGGCAATTTGCTAATGGGGGCTGTCAGGGTAGAGATTTTCCCTGAATGTTTAACAGAAACCACAGGTCAACTACAAGTCAAATCCAGTTCTTCACCCTCAACCGTACTCCAAATTAGGGTTTTGTTGGTGGGGGGCTTCGGAAACAGAAACTTAGCTCCTACTACTGTGTTTCACACATGGTAGGAGGACAAGGGGTCTGTAGACATTGACCTGAGTGTGAAGCATGGCTCTGTCTCTTCCTGGTTGAGACCTTGGAAATCCCTTGACTTATTTTAGTCTGTGTTCTCATCTATAAAATGTGGACTGTACTCTGCTCTACAGAGTTATGTGAAATCAATGTCAGATTTTACCTGGAAAGTTCTTAAAGCAGTACTTGACCCATGTTAGCAAATATGGCTTTAGCCTTAGTAACCTGATGTACCTAGATTAGCCTACAGGCTCTTGCTAGTGTTTTGTTTCCATGAGTCATGCACTTGATTTTTTTTCCCAATAAGAATTTTTTAATAGGAGTTTAATTTCAGTATATTATACTTTTATTTTCAAATGAAACACATAGATATCAAGGCAAATTCTAAAACTTTTCATTACCTAATTTTGTCAGTTATGTCATTTATGCCAAATATTTGAAATACTTTTTTTTTTGGTTCATAGTAATCGTGACCTTTCCAACACATCTTTAATCTACTGGGGGGATCCTGATATTTCCAATTGTACAAGTAAGTGAATGATTTTCTTCCGTTCTCAAAGACAAATGGAAATGACCTCATACTTCATGGTTTTCATCCTCTTCAGACATGCTCTTCTGCCATGTGATACTATTGTAATATTAAAAGCTAGCAAATGATAAATTTCACTTACTTAAGGTAAAACATACTTTTTTTTCCTCATTCTGATTTCCTGTTGTATTCATTCTAAAAACTGTTTAACATTTTTAGAGAAAACAAAAATAATATACACATTGATATTCATATCAATGTTTTATAGTTTTGTATTATTTTAAATAGCAAATAATCATTTATTCTGGGTCCATTTCTATTAGAACTATATGTGAATATTGGTCTCACCAATATGTGCTTAAGGGCACAATTTGTGTATTACTAAAGAAAGAAGTTAGTTTGTGTGTGAAGAAATATTGCTCTGTGAGGATTGTTAGAAGGGGGTATACACAGAAAACTTGATATGCTGCTTAAACTATGAAGTTAAATATCACACTTTTTTTTTAATCCTGGAAATGATTTTAAAAAATAGGTAAAACTTGATATGTTGTTTTTTCTGTCTTTTTTAGGGGAAGCAAATGAAGTTGCCAATCAGATTTTAAATTTAACTGGTGATGGACAGACCTTAAATTCGGCCAATATTACCAGCATTGTAGACCAGGTCAAAAAACTTGTGAATAAAGAAGAAAATATTGATATAAATCTTGGCTCAACTATAATGAACATATTTTCTAATATCTTAAGCAGTTCAGACAGTGACTTGATTGAGTCATCTTCTGAGTAAGTTTTTTCTGGAGAGTAAATTTATTGGGTGCATGTGTTGTTATATAATTTCTCACATATCTGAATGCTTTTTGCCCAGATCTCATCATTTAAATCTCTAGAAGATCCATTGATATTTCCCAAGATCATTCACAAAGTGAACTTCGAAGTTTCTTATCTTTTTTTAGTTATATAATTTAAAAAAATATTAGGATTGTCATCTGGCAAGATATTAAATAATCCCAGAAAAGCATAATCAGTATGTCATTTGCATCTGAAAAATGTTAACTGGGTTTACTTCAACAGATTAATAAATTATCACAAATATTCATTTATAGCACCCCTCCCTCTTTTTGCTTGTAATGGAGACACTTAAGAAACACTCAACTCATAACTTTAAGGCATAACTTGGTCAGTGTGAGTCACTCTCCTATGAACTGTGGTATAGAATTACCACAGACATGTTATTGTACTTCTGAAATGAAAAAGTCTAAGAAAGAAAATGTACCTATTTTTATATAATTTAATTTTTTTCTAATTATTTTACTTAAGATATTGCTATTAAGATACTTAATTTTACCTATCTCCTTCCTTTCAATGAAATTTCTTTGATCAAAATTATATATTTGTTCAAATGAATTATTATGTAGATAACTTACCTTAGCTACATAATAATTACAAACTATTTCTTACAGTTTTTTGTAGTTCAAAAAATACTTTTACACATTATTTTCATTGATTCTTACTCAGTTTTGAGTAGGACACATATTCTTTATATGAGAAAAGAAAGACTAAAATAGGTAAAAATCAGACTTTGTTAGTATGATTTAATTGTTGATTTTTCCTTAAAGCCTATATTTTTCTCTTGAGGATGTATTTATCACTATGATTCTGTGTATTAAGTGCTATTATTGTGGTTTGGGTAATTTTGTGAGATCAGACATAAATACACAATTATTTTTTGGTTTATATCTTGTCTGGCAACAAATCATATGTGTGCAGGTACCTAAAACATGTCACTTAATGGTGGTATTATTTTTCATTTCTTTAGAGCTTTAAAAACAATTGATGAATTGGCTTTCAAGATAGACCTAAACAGCACACCACGTGTGAATATTACAACTCGGAATTTGGCTCTTGGAATATCATCCCTATCTCCAGAGACTAGTGAAGTTTTAAATTTTAGCATCAGTCTTCCAAAAAATAATGAGTCATATTTTCAGGTATGAGCTAATACTGTAGTTTCTTTAACTTTAACTAATTAGATAGATAAAAACTTTATGATCACCTACAAGTTGCTTTTCAAGGAGACGCTGGTCTGAGGGATGGCAGGCAAGTTGGAATGCCAACTATGGCCGATACCATTGGTCTGAGGATCGTGCTTTGAGAACGAATGATGTGGAAGGTTGGGAAGGCAGGTGATAGTGAGGCTGGACAGGAAAGCTGGGGCCAGAATAATGAAGCCCTATCTGACCTGCTCAAGTGTCACTTGGGCAAATAATGTTTAAGTGTCTACTGTGTGCTAGACAGTGTTAGACACGTGGCAAATGAAAGAATTGAAACAGTGCCCTTAACATGGGAAGACACACGGTGGCATGGCATACTTTTAACTGTGGAGAAAAGCCAAGATAAAATATTTACAAATCTGGATGTCAGGAAGAATTTATTCTGCTTTAGACTCGGGGCTCTTCAGGGTAACCCTATTTGACATTTTAAGAGTGAAAACTCGGTCAGCCTCTGTCTCATTCCAAGTCCCTTTGCTAGCAAACACTCTTTGGCTTGATCTGTGGGCTCAGGAAAGATGGCATCCAAGTGTGCATAAAATTTCAGCTGCTTCTCTATGCGGTGATACTTATTCTCAGCAATCAAACAAATCAACTCTCTTTTTTGGTAGTTATTTTTCACTGCATGTTTTGAGAAAGCTCAAAATTTACTGTCACCCTGGCTGCAGTGCCTCAGTAGGTTGTGCCTCATCCTGTGCACCAAAAAGTCAACAGTTAGATTCCCATTAGGGCACATCCTTGGGTTGTGAGTTTGATACTGGTCAGGGCACGTGCATGAGGCAACTGATCTATGTTTCTCTCTCCCCCTCCCCCTCCCCCTCCTTTCCTCTCTCTCTTAAATCTATAAAATATATTTTAAAAATATATATTAATGTAAATCTAACTCTTATATTTGGAAATGTTAACTGATTTTTAAATTTCTCAGTTGCCTTAGTTAAAATCCATGCATTTCCTGTTTTGCTACATATGGGAAAACCAGTGAGATGCATGCCTTTGTCCATAGGGGATTCACCAGGAGGGCAGTGACAGGTGGAGGGAAAGGGCAGCCCTGGTCCTAGCCAAGGTGATACTTGCAGTAAGTTATCATTGTGATTTCATGGTGATTACTCTACCAATTTATCCCTGTGTGTGACAGATGGATTTTGAGAGCAGACATATGGATCCATTGGCTTCTGTAATTTTGCCTCTAAACTTACTTGAGAACTTAAGTCAAGAAAATTCTGTATTAGTTAAAAGAGCACAGTTTACTTTCTTCAATAAAACTGGACTTTTTCAGGTAAGTATTCATTAAACTGTTATTTTTTCCATTGCAAATTGAGTTCCTTTGCTCTAAAGGGAAATAAAAGTTTAGCTTCTATGGGACTGTATCATGACGTAGAAAAATTAACCTACTATATTTTGAAAAATTAAACATGTTAAGTTTTTGATTTGATTACAGATAATTGCATGCTTATGAATAGATGCGTTAATTTAAATATTTTTAATAAATCAGATATTAGATTAAGACTTGCATGATACAAGTATAAATTGAATTTATGGAGAAGTTACTCTTTACCATTCCTTTTGTTAAATATTTTATTTAAAAACTCTCCAGGAGTTTAGATCTTCAGAGTTAAAGAAATCATGTGCCAAAGGAAAGGTTTTGTTTTGTTTTGTTTTGTTTTAATTCAACAGGAAGCACTGTTTACATAATGAGCAGCATTCTTGGCTTTAATCAGTTTTCCCATTAGTATTTCCAATGAACTTTGGCCTTCACACATTCCCAGATTGGGGTGGCATTGTGCTAAGCACATATTATCATTTTTATTGGCATCATTTCTGGATACTAGGAAGTCCACTGCCAGCAAACACTGGTGACCTCCGATTGCCTTTGAAAGCACAACCCCATCTAGGGCAATTTTACTCAGCCCTTAAAAAAAACTTATCTATTATATTGAAGATACCAGTGTCTATCAAACAGAGAGACCTATGTAAGAGAAAGTGGCCAGTCTCAAGAAGACTTGACTGGTTTCTAACAGGTCTGCCCTGCATGTCATGTGTGGAGCAACAGCAAAGTAGACCACCAGTAAGTAAAAGGAATAACATGGAATAATTTACAGTAATTCATCACCAAACTTTAAAAATTTATCAGTAAATGTGTTAGGAACAAGCTTTATAAAATTTTTGAGTAGATTAAAAATGTAATTACCCGTCATTACTCGGAAGGATTTAATAGCTATGAATACAAAAAAACCTGCATTTGTGAAAATTATTTGAGGCTTACAGTAATGTCACCTTTAAAACAAAACATAAAATGCAGTAGGTATCACAAAATATGAATGGTGGTTCGGCCAGGGGGTTGTCGATTTAGAGAGCAGGTTGAGCCCAGCAGGAAAGATTTAGGACAACTGTTAGAGTTGTAAAAAATCTGTCATTATTTCATTTTAAGACTTATCTTCTCCATACCATCTATTCCTTCTCCTTTGGCATTTCCCTGTCAATGTTTTTGTTAGGAAATATATGTGTGTTTTTTAAAGTGAATGCATAGCAGAGTAAAGCAAATTTAAGGGTTCTATGCTTCTCTCTTCACATAGTGAACAAAATTCGAGGTTTGTTTTTTTTAAAGGAAAGGCCGAGTATCCTCAAACAATAGCCGACTTATTGAGAATGACCACACAAAAGTAATAAAAAGCTATATTCTAGATGCTGAGATCCATTTGGCATAGAGGAAATCCTATAATTCTTCCAAAACAACCGCTTTTATAAACTGCAATAGGGAATTTCAGGAGGTTTGACAAAAAACACAAGGGGAAGAAGAAAGTTGAGGTATCTCGCTGGAGAGTCTGTGGTCCCAATCGTTCTGAGCAGATTCACTAATTGGGTTGCTGGCAACCTTGTCTCTGAAGTGGAAGCTACAGCAAGTATGGAGTCAGAGAAGGTGGACGGTCTGAATGGAGCTTTACCCCATTACATGTAGGGCACATCAGTAAACCCGTCCGGCTTTCAGCCTGGGTGTGAAAGATGAATTGGTTTTTATTTTCCACAACATCTTTTCTTCATGCTTCTCCAAAGGAAAACGACTTCATCTGTTTTCTAGGGCAGGGAAGTGACCTAATTGTTTCACAGCTTTTTATGAGTTTATATTATTTATGGCGGTGCATTGTTTCAGATGGTAACTGGCTGGCGTCTGTCACAGCCATCAAGATGAAGTTTTATGGCCATCGCCTGCTGCTCTGGCTCAGAATGTTCTCTCAAATGTATTTATTATAATAAGGGAAATAGCAAAGCCCTTTCAGGAAAGGCAGCGATTCGAACTTATAAACAGGATGTTCTATAATTCAAGATCTTAAGTGTAAAAAGTGCTGACAGCTTGCTTATTTTGGAACAGCGGAATAAAAGTGTGTACTTTTGACTAATACACTTTTTTTTTTCTTTACAAGGATGTAGAGACCAAGAAAGGCACCTTAGTGAGTTATGTGATGGCATGCAGTATTGGAAACATTACCGTCCAGAACCTGAAGGATCCAGTTCAAATTAAAATCAAACACACACGAAACCAGGTAAGAAAACACTGCAAATAGTGATGGAGTCGAAGCAGACTATTTCAGGAAAAGATGGGGATGTTTCTTTTACATGAAAACAAATAACTGACACTTTTTTGGAAGGGAACAATTTTCCTGAAAGGGGGGAATGGATAAACACGTAGAGCTCTAATATCACATGAAATGATGGCAATCAAGGGAAATCTGTCTTATCTAGGACTCAATAATCGGAAGGAGAACGGGAGTGAAGAAAAGGGCACCTGTTGCTAAGAAATGATGTATATCACTTGAGATAAATTAGATGTAGATGCAGTTGTACTATCCTGCCATTAAAAGTTTTGTTTTTTTAATTTTAATATATTTTTCAATCACAGTTGACGTACAATATTATATTAGTTTCAGGTGTACAACCCAGTGATTAGATAACCCTGATAAATTTAGAACCCCCCTGGCACCATACATAGTTATTACAGTATTCTTGACTGTGTTTCCTGTACTGTACTTTACGTCCCCAATTTGTACTTCTTAATCCCTCCACCTTTTCCACCCAGCCCTCCAGCCCCCCTCCCACCTGGCATTTGGTTGTTTTTTAAGGTCAAGATCATTGCTACAGAGAGCACAGCAGGGTAACAGGGTTGACTTAAGTTTTGAGAGGTTAACCGTTATCTAAAATCTTGGCAAATGCTTTCTTAATTGCTATATTACCCTGGCAATCATCTGTTTATATGAAAAAATTACATGAGGGTTTGTGTTGTCGCAGGTGGTCCAGGCACGGGTTAGTCCCCTTTTTCTGGAGGGTCCCAGTCACGATTCCACCATTTATTAGGCAGGCAGGAAGGCGGGCGGAAGTGAGCTGGCTGATAAGGACTGAGGCTTGGAAGTTAAGTCATCTACTCACTAGTTCTGCTTTGTCACGAAACCCTCGACCTCCTTGTTTTACCTTCTGGCCTCCTTTGTTTCAGCTCCCAGCTCCTTTATCCATAACAATTTTTTTTTATTGTGGTAAAATATACAAAACAAATTTTACTATTTTTAAGGACACAGTTTGGTGACATTGAGTACATTCACATTGTTCTGAAACCATCACCACGTGCATCTTCAGAGCTATTTCATATTCTCACTGAAACTGCACCCATAGAATAACTCCCCTTGCCCCTCCCCAGCCCCAGGCAACCACCATTCTTCTCTCTGTCTCTGAATGTAACTGCTCTAGATTCCTCATGTAAGTGGAATCATACAGTGTGTGTCCTTTTGTTACTGGCTTATTTCACCTAACATAATATTTTCAAGATTCACCCATAGTATAGCATGTGTCAGAATTCCCTCCCTCTTTAAGTCTGAATAATATTCCATTGCAGATATACATACATACATACATACATATCTCCCTCATTTTGTTTATGCATTTTTTCATCCATGGACACTTTGATTTCTTCTACCTGTGGCTATTGTGAATAATATTGCTGTGAACATGGGTGTGCAAATACCTATTTGAGTCCCTAATTTCAATTCTTTGGGGTTATACTAGACATAAAGGAGAAGTTTAAAGAGGAAGTAAAATTACAGTGTAAAGAGTTTTGCTAAATGCACAGCATTTTATGATGGGGCATATATAGTAAACTTTAGGTAAATGAGTAACACAATTCCTCATGCGGTTATAGTTGGTTTCCACCTGAAGTCTGTGTGAGAGGAGGTTACCTGGATTGCCTGTCATTTGTAGGTGCTGTTGGTATGACTAATGCTGACCCATTTCTTGGTGCAAACCTTAGCCTTTTACTCTTTTCCCATATCCAAACCGTAGGATTTTTCCATTTATTTTAAACACAACTTCATATTTTTATTCTTATGTTAATATAGGCAGTGCCTAATCCCATCTGTGCCTTCTGGGATCTGAACAAAAATGGTAAGTTTTCAAATATATTGACTATCTTAATAACAACTGACTTTTAAACTTGTTAGGCACCCCCGTATCCTTTCATTCCACCCCAAACCAGAGTGAGTCACAATATAAGTGTGATAGCAACTGAGCTGAAAATTTTAGTTTGGGTAGCTTGGGAACTAAATTCTAATTTCTAAAACTTTTTATTCATTGCAAGAGGAAATAGAAAGGTGTGGCTCTTTAAAAATTCAAACCTCTTTAATTTCAGTAATTTATAAAATAGAGTAACATTTGTATTGCCATTGTAGGTGAACATCGATGTACACTTGGTCTCACTCTTCTAGGACACTTCTGAGGAGGTTTTTCGATGTGCATAAGGCATATAACTAGACATCCAGCTTGCGGCCCTCAGAGTATAGGAGAAAGCCCACCGCAGGGCTGAAAGATAGGGATGGTTATAATAGCTGTATACCACTGGGAACAAGTGAGCTGCCTCCTGAATGACGTTTGACAATCAGGAGACAAAGGCAAAATTCAGAGTTCGATCATGAGGTGTAAGGTGTGGAGATCTCTTTGAAGGGAAGGATCAGAGATGAAACCTCCCACTTCTACCCCCTAAGGGTCACCTTCCCTTGGGGTCCCCATTGGGATTATCCTGCTTCTTGGCAGAGATGTGGCCTGCAGATGTCCAGACCTCTTTCCTCGATACTCTATCACAGCTGGAAGGGTTTTTTTGTTTAATTTTTAGTTGCACAGTTTTGAAAAGTTCCTGATTTACTAGATACATAATTTAAAATGATATTATCTTCCATTCTTAAAACATTCTTCAAATGTATGAGTTGCTCATATTCCACAGCATAGTGTAAAAGTCAGGACAGATGTATTAAAGGCATTTATCGGAAGTTGCCACTATGCACCACTGCCATGTCCATGCTAACATGTTCCAAGAAAGGCCTTCCTGTTCTCATGTCTTCACGAAAACATAGACTGACTGACCCGAGGGGGGAAAAAGTTGATTTCTAGAGATTTTATCCGTATATAACGTGTTTGAAAAGGAATATTCCCTTTTAGGAAAGTCTGTCTTATAATATACTAGAAATTAAACTTGAATCAAAGTTTGGCAGAACCCCTGAAGCACTTCAGTGGAACACACTTGAAAACCACTGGCGAGATCATCTCTAGCTGCCCACCCAGCACTAACACTGTGATTCCAGGAATCTGAAGGATAGGGAGGGTTGGAGGGGGTGGGGAGGTAAGAGATCAACCGAAGGACTTGTATGCATGCATATAAGCATAACCAATGTACGCAAGACACTGGGAGCAGGGGTGGGGGGATGATGCATGTGCCAGGGGAGTAGGGGAGGCTGGGGGAAGGTCAATGGGGGGGGGGAGGAAAGGAGACATATGTGCTACTATTTGTAATACTTTAAAAAATAAATTAAAAAAAATATTCAGCTTTAAATAGTATGCATGTTACAGATAAAATGTAGGCAGGAGATATGGAGGCATTTTCTCTAAAGAAGATACCATCCATTATAGAGGAGGAACTGACCTGCCGTTGTTTTTATTGTTTGCTGACTTCCCCCTGCAGAAGGGTCTGGATTTTGGAACACGTCAGGATGTGTTGCTCACACAGATTCAGACGCGAGCGAGACGATCTGCCTGTGTAACCACCTCACACACTTTGGAGTTCTGATGGTAGGGGAGGATTTTGAAACTCATTTTGAAATAATATAATTTTGGAAGGCATACTTTTTTGTGTGAGTCAGCCTTTTGAGCTTATGTGTTTGGGGAATTATTTCCTGATAATTTTCATCTGTACCATGAATCTTGATTCTTAATGAAGAATCTAAGTAACAGAGATCATATATTAAAAATATACAAAAGTGCGCGGCTGGCATGGCTTAGTGGTTGAGCATCAACCTATGAACCAGGAGGTCAGGTTTTGATTCCTGGTCAGGGCACATTCCCAGGTTGTGGGGCTAGATCCCCAGTGTGGGGTGCAGCCAATCAACAATTCTCTCTCATCATTGATATTAATATTTCTCTATCCCTATCCCTTTCTCTCTGAAATCAATAAAAATATTTTTAAATAGAAAAGTAATTGCAGAAAAGGAACCTACTTTTTTTCCCATAGCATTAACAGTGTTGATAAATAATTCTAGAAACAAGAATATCACCATGAAACTTTTGAATTCATCCACAGACTTGTACCTTTACTTATATCTGATATACTTGAGTTTTTGCGGATATATGTGTGTGTGTGTGTGTGTGTTTTATTGATTTCAGAGAGGAAGGGAGAGGGAGAGAGAGATAGAAACATCAATGATGAGAGAGAATCATTGATTGGCTGCCTCCTGCACATCCCCCACTGGGGACAGAGCCCGAAACCCAGGCATGTGACCTTGGCTGGAATCTAACCCGGGACCCTTCATTCCACAGACCAATGCTCTATCCACTGAGCCAAACCAGCTAGGGCAGCGGACACTTTTCTTGTAGTGTGCCCTTCAGATCCTAGCAGAGCCATTGTTTCTGTGTAGTTTCCATAAAGGGATCAGAGCACATATGTTTTTTAATGGAAGATGGGGGAAATGTGTGCTGAGGCAATAAAGCTGTATACATTGGAATCACAGACATCAGATTACATTTATCCCCTCCCTTAAGTCTTACGCCCACTTCCTTTGGGACTGGGAGGAAGCTGTGAGGACCGTGTGATGTAGTATTTGGCTCATGTATCCACTCGGCCAATGTAAATGTCTATTTTCCTGACAACCCAGTACATAAAAGCTCTGAAGGATAAGAACAAGTCATTTAAAAGGGTGATTATCACAGAAAATAACTTCTTAACTTTCTCAAAATATATTTTTTTCCTTTACCGCCAGAGCATGAAAATGAACAATTAAACTGTAGTGTGTTTTCACTAAGTGATTTTAAAAAAATACTGTTTTCTTCCATTTTCTCTTTTCTTCAAAAATGAGAACATTCTTTCAGAAAACACCTATGTATTATTACTCATTATATACAAAATGTGCTATTACTCATTCAGGTATATAAGCTTTAGCTTAATTGATTTAACTACTTCAGCTGTATTTGTGTGCGGGTGTGTGTGTGTTTGAGCATGATTGTGTTGTAAGTCTGATATTAGATAATAGATAACAGTAACACAATTCGCTGTTCAGAAACGATTTATATGTAACAAAGTTTAGCTTCGCATTACTTTGAATAGTCAGTAGTTTTTTCAAAATTGTTTAAATTTTATTATGAGTTTGTGATTAGGTATGACTTTTTCTATTGTAGACTGATTAAATAATTAGCTTTATATGCAGATGGATCTATGCATATTTTTAGTGCTATACTTCCGCTTTCCACCTTGGCTGGTTTTGTGAGTTTAGAAACTGCTGGAAGAAAAATTTTCCAGAATTTATTCTTTCTGGCAATGTGCCCACATCCTTTCAGCTTTCCAGACCACCAAGACTTTCTTCAGAGTCTTTCTTGATTTACAAACTATTTACTCATTCGTACAAGAAATCCCCAGTCTACATTGCTCCATGACACATTTGCCATATGAGAAGTTTTAAAAAATGTACCTCCGACCCCATAATTATATCTTCTAATACACAAATGTATGAAGAATTTAATGGTTCTTCTATATTTCTTTGTAGTAAGACTGATTTTTATATTTTTAACAATCAGAGGAACTGTTGGCTAGTTCAGAGGAATAAATGTTTGTGTACTTTTCATTCTCTAAAAATACAAAACAGTATGAGAATGGGGTATAAATTGGTATCATCAGTAAATAGCATTATTTTACTTACTTCACACTTTAAATTGTGGCTTTAATTGTGGTTTGCAGGTCAACTGCCTGGCCTAGTTAGGAGCCATAGGTTTTTCAAGCAGTAATGGCAAGTCACTTGGAGATTCCTCAAGACCATTTCACTGACCTAATGAAACCTTGGAGTCACTTAAATATTGGTTGAAGTCACCTATCTGTGAGTCAAGTGGCACTGACTCGAATACCATCCCATGTGACACAGGATCCCCTTCCTGCAGTGTTTTGAGAGATTCCTAGAGAGGATGAAGAACCCCCCCACCCAACCCTGAGCCCATGTACCTGCTGAATTCTGTCACTTTGTGCCTTTCTTGGTGTCACAGAGGTGCTGTCCCTGCTACTTACTACATCAGCCAAACCTGGAACTAAGTCTGTGTCTTCATTTCACACACATGTACATACAACAAACACCCCTTACTGGAGGCCTTAGTGTGACTGGCAGGTTTTATTGACCTTTTGGTGAAAAGTAATAGAAAATAGAATGAAAAACTTAAAACACAAATATTTTTTCATAATTTAACACCTAAGAGTTTAAATCAGATATTCTTTTTGGAGGATGTCCCTTCTTCAAGAAAGCTCTGTTTTAGAACATCTGCATAATGGAGGTTTCTTTCTCTTCCAACCGGGATTGAATGGTTGGTCTCAAGATTTATCCCTATCCCAATTCCCCAATTAAGGAAGAAAAGAACAGTTTTTCTACCAAGCCCAGACTTTGCAAGTCTGCCTCAACACAGTGAAGTGAGTATTTCTTATTAATATACTAGAAAGTGTTTACTTCTTTCTACTCGACATGCACCCCCTAACATTTTACATGGTGCCTTTAACAAAGTTTGGCTTCCCATTACTTTGAATAATCAGTAGTTTCTTCAAAATTGTTTAAATCTTATTATGAGCTTATAATTATGTATTACTTTTCAGGTCTATAAAGATAAAAATTATGACCCCAAAAGTCTTAATGGATTCTCATTTATGAAAAAAAGATAAAGACCACCCCACCCCATACCTATCAAGCTTTGGGATAACACAGCTAGGAGCCTCAGCACCACTCTCAGAGCCTGACAACCACAGTGCACCACCAGCCTCTGGTCATCCACTGGCTGAGCTCCTCCCTACTGGGCAAAGGACTCACCCAAGCGCTTGGCCATGAGGGCCACAAGGGCTTCCATTTGAACTTGTGCCCCCAACCCTGCAAATGTTAAGAATGGGCTTGATAACTATTGTGCAAAGCAAGGATCTCCTCTCCAGTTTCTATTGGGGAACCCAGTGGTTTTGCTCTTCAAGATATACTACTGTGAAAAGAGCTTGGGTAACAAGGTAATAGATAAAAACCATCTGTAACTCCCTCAATACTGCTATATTTTGTTTCATGGAGTGATCCACAAGAGTATTATAAATGGAAATTTCAATGCTGATTTACACTGTTTTTTACTCCTAAGGTTGAGCTGAGATTCTAAGTCCTAGCAAGGGACTTCTTAATAAAACAAAGGCATCCTTAGAAAAGAATGATTCTCACAGCTGCTTTCCATATTTTGAATAGGACCTTCAAGGAACTGCCTCACAGATAGATGCAAGAAACACTAGAATTCTCACCTTCATCACCTATATTGGATGTGGAATATCTGCTATTTTTTCAGCAGCAACTCTCCTGACATATGTTGCTTTTGAGTAAGTATTTTCTATCGGCCAAACCCAGTGCTAACTATTCTAAAATGTGAATAAGAAATTGCCTCAGATTTTAGAAACTTTCATGCACTTTGCAAATCTGTGTGGGGTAGTTCAGTTTTAATGTTCAGGTTTCAGATATGTCATACAGCATGAATTGTCCAGCTATAGAGTCTTAATTTATAATTAGTGTATGTCTATTGATAAAATGCATTTAAACCTGTTAGAGATGATTAACATATAAGTAAATAAACATTGCATTCATTATTTTTTGCATGGTACAAGATGAAAACATTTGCTTCACAAATATTATAACATTAGACCTAAAACAGAAATTTTTGTTTTAAAAATAATCTTCACCTCATTAAAAATCAAGAAACTTAAAAAAAAATTTAAGGAAATTATTTTTAACAAAAATACCATTTTTATGACTATAGTTTTTCTAGATTAAAAAGTACCAAGCTGTTGAAACCAGTCGGCAATTATTTAAACAATTAGAGACCATTTTGAAATAAAATTAATATTTACAAAATCTTCCTAAGTTTCCAAATGCTTGCAAATATCATTAGCCCTCCCCTCGTGGAACCAGATCCTGGAGATGGTGCAAGCTAACCCATTGCATTGCTGTGTGAGATATGAATTTACTGCCTGTACTTAAAATTTTATTTACAACATTCGTTCTCCATATCTTCCTTTTTTCGGTTTTAGAAAATTGCGAAGAGATTATCCCTCCAAGATCTTGATGAACCTGAGCACAGCGCTGCTGCTGCTGAACCTCAGCTTCCTCCTGGACGGCTGGATCACCTCCTTTCACGTGGTGGGTCTCTGCACCGCCATCGCCGCGCTGCTGCACTTCTTCCTGCTCGCAACCTTCACCTGGATGGGGCTGGAAGCGATCCACATGTACATTGCTCTGGTGAAAGTATTTAACACTTACATTCGCCGATACATCCTGAAATTCTGCATCATTGGCTGGGGTGAGCATCCTCAAAATGTCTGGCTTTGTTTTCAGTTTCCTGGGAATTGCCACATTCTCGTAGGAAAGTGCTGTCTTGAAAGAATAGCATCGCTCAAGGAAACTTCAAATTAGCAAAGGATGTGGATGCGATACCTTAAGGAAGTATAATATTTGGAAAAACTGTTCAACAGACCTCACTAAATGCAGGAGTAAAGGCAAAACCTCCGGCCCCTGAGTCACCACAAACTTATTTCCTGTGCCCTGAGCCAGCCCACCCAAGTCTGAAGAGGCAGCTGGCAGACAGTGGTGCATTTCCATTATGTTTCAAAATATAAAGGCCGGCTCAGACTCCTAGCTACGCTCATCCCTAGACACATGCCCATGTCTTAGAAACCAGAGAGAGAATGTTGGTTTTGTGTGTGCGCAACCAGAATACTGACAGAATTCTTTCCTTGAATGTCTAGTGATTCCTCAGCCAGACATGGATGATTGTATTAGTCTCTTTGGGATCTTCTAAATGGGCTCCTTTCTTTATCTGGCTTTTATATCAAACCAGGCATTTTAGAGCTTTCTCACAAATCTCTTTTTCAGATTGCAATGTAGAAATATGAGCCATTTCCAAGATGTTCACAATTTTAGGAGGCATCTTTAAGGGAATTGGGACAGTGTAATTTTTCTCAATGAAATATACGTGGAATTGCTTTACTTGTTGACTCTCTTGAGAGAAAAAAGAAGATTATAAAGACTTTATGGTCTCAGTATTTCTCCCCCATTTTTTCTAAAGACTTTTTTATATATAGAAAAGGGAAAAATGAGCTATAATTCCTGTGCTGCCTGAACTAACAGTTGGTCTAACAGGCATCATTAATGAAACCACATTTGTTGGTCCTAGATTCAATATAAATCAGCTTCTGGCTCTCCAGTGGGTACCAGAAAACAAACAGATATTTACATACCTGTCATTTAAGAGTAGGTTTTAAAGCCCTAACCGGTTTGGCTCAGTGGATAGAGCGTCAGCCTGCAGACTGAGGGGTCCCAGGTTCGATTCCGGTCAAGGGCATGTACCTTGGTTGCGGGCACATCCCCAGTAGGGAGTGTGCCCGAGGCAGCTGAATTGATGTTTCTCATCAATGTTTCTAAGTCTCTATCCCTCTCCCTTCCTCTCTGTAAAAAATCAATAAAATATATTTTTTTAAAAAAAAGAGTAGGTTTTGATTGTTGACAATTGAGTTGGATGTTCCACACCAAAGAGAATTTATTTGTTATTTTAACCAAGCTGCCAGCTCTAAGAAATTTGATTCTGTGATATGAAGTGTTTTATTTTTTTCTGGCCATTATCAGTCTTAAAAAGCAGTTCCAGATGCTTTAGAAAAGTTGCTCACGGCGTGGTCTCTTTATAACAGGTTTACCTGCCTTCATTGTATCAGTTGTTCTAGCAAGCAGAAGCCAAAGTGAAGTTTATGGGAAAAAGAGTTATGGAAAAGAACAAGGTGATGAATTGTAAGTAATAAAAACTTGTCGGAAATTTATCTGCAATGAGTGTATGTCCTTTGTTTCCTAAAGTTTAGTGTAAGTTTCCATGCCAACAGTGAGCCTCTTATTTTTGAAGGTTGAGTGCATCGGCATGCCTTTACCAGGATCTTTACTACACCATGATGTACTCAGTTGAATGCCCTGAACTCTTAGAGCCCCTGGGGGAATGCAGAAGTCTCAGATACTATCTTCTAGGCTCAGAAGACCCTTTCTATTTGAGATTTCCTAATACTCCCACCTCCTTAAACCCACATATATCTTAACGTGAGTTAAATAATAGTATCAGACAATAATGCTAATGAGTCAATGCTAATATGAGTGTTCCATGGAAATGGAGAGAACGGACCCGTCAGTGTGTTCTTGGATAATTTGGAAAACTTTCCTCAGGCTGTGACATCATTGAGGCTAAGGTGGTTCTATTGCTCACTTTCAGTAGTTACTTCTCTCATAAAGGATGTTCCAGAAAAAATGTATACACACACACTTTGAATAATTATAAAGGCAGTGTTTATTGAAATACACTTTATTTTCATTTAACAGCTATTAGCTGTTAAAGTGTGTATACATTTTTGGGGGGGGGCACCCTGTATTTTATGCAGCACATAGTAGGTACTCATGCGATTGAATGAATAACTGAATGAATAAAGGAGTTTACTCCTGACTGTGCCGCCACATTACTATACACATTTCATGAATGGTAAACACTTTTATATCCAATTAATATCCAATCCTGTCCCATTTTCTTGTGGTCTTTCCTTAGTTTATATTTCCATAGTAGCACCCAAAAGACCCCCACAATAACGAGAATAAAATAAAAGTTTTAGGTCAGGAATTTCAGGATTCTAAGGGAACTGCCATATGTAAAGAAATATTAGCTTCAGGGATAAGCAGTATCATTTTGGGGAATCTTTATAATAAGATATATTAAAAGTGCCCTGCTGGTGTGGCTCTGTGATTCAGCCTTGACCCATGAACCAAGAGGTCCCTGGTTCCATTCCTGGTCAGTGCAAATGCCAGAGTTGTGGGCTGGATCCCCAGTAGGGGGCATGCAGGAGGCAGCCGATAGATGTTTCTCCCTCATTGATGTTTCCATCTCTCTCCCTTCCTTCTCTCTAAAAAAATCAATAAAAACATTTTTTAAAAAGGTATGTTAAAAGTAAAAGTCAGTACATAAGTTCTAAATAAGGTAATCTTAAAAGTATGTTAGTCACCTCTTACAGAACTTTAAAGTACATTTAATAAATTGCTATTCCATCAACAACTGTCATTTACTGAGCATTTACTATATGCCAGGAATCATGTTGGATTCTGGAATTCAGAGATGTACAAGGTAGCTTTTGCCTTTGTGGCAGTCATCTTCCACTGTGGAAGACATAACTTGGAATGGTGACTATTTGTACTAGAATTTTAAGATAAATTTAAATGCCTTAAATAATATATCCAATTTTTGAGGTACCTAGGATCTTTCATAGTATTATTATTAGGACCTGGGACATCTGCAAATTATAGTGCATGTTAAATTTATTCATAGAACATTTACACATAGTACAGTTTCTAAATTGCCTTTATCTTTTTTCAAATCTATATATAATTTTTAATATCAAGTATATCTTTCCTCATTTCACAAGGATATTGTAACTAATGTAAGTTTTTTAATTGTACATGAGAAATGTCACTATAAGAATGTCACAGTTTTACAATAAGGTCTTGCCTCAACTAGACCAACTATATTAATAGGAAATTCTTTTGCAGTATGGGATCCACAATTATGTGTGTCTTAAGTAGGAATTTACTCTTCTTGCATGACAAAAAAAAGACACCCATAGAAATAAGCAATAAACTGGCATTAATGTATGGCTGAAATGTCAGAGTCAGAACCTCTGCAGCTCTCTTGGCCTTTCTCTCATGGGTATAGGTGATTGCTGCTGCTCCATTGCTTGCTCTCAGGTTTGAAGCAGAAAGAATGAATAAGGGCCTGGCCAGTTGAGTTTATCAAGATAGCTCTCCAGATTTTGCTTCCATATCATTTTGTAGAACAATGTCCACAGGACCAACCCTTAAATACAAAAGAGATTGAAAATATGAGTACTTAAACTTCCCATTCTCTGGAGTGCAGACACATGTGAGAAAAGGGGTTAGACATGGTGTTGGGTAAACCAACCAAGAGTGTCCTCACGCCAAGTCAGAATTCAAGTAGCCACCTGGTTTTCTTCTCAACTCTTGACTTAAATAACTAGACATTAAAGTGATAGCTATCCAAAACAAACAAAGAAAACAATGAACACATCAAGAAGGAAATGGAGGTCCAAGAAATGAAGTGACTCTCCAAAGGTGTGTGAGAAAGGCCTAGCTGTGAAACCCACAGAAGCCAGAACCAAGCCAGGGGAAGTCTTAGGTCAACAGGCATGGTAATCAATTCCTTTTTCTTTCTTGTCTCTTCTCCTTTAAGCTGTTGGATTCAGGATCCAGTGGTATTTTACGTGACCTGTGCTGGGTATTTTGGAATCATGTTTTTACTGAATGTCGCCATGTTCATCGTGGTAATGGTGCAGATCTGCGGAAGGAACGGCAAAAGGAGCAACCGGACCCTGCGGGAAGAGGTCTTACGGAACCTGCGCAGTGTGGTCAGCCTGACATTTCTGCTGGGCATGACATGGGGTTTTGCCTTCTTTGCTTGGGGACCCTTATATATCCCTTTCACGTACCTCTTCTCCATCTTCAATTCATTACAAGGTAAGATAAATGGTACCTGAACAATTTCCACTTTCTAATTTTGTCATACTTGCAAACAGCTTCATTGTTGGACAGACGCCACACTAAGTTTCTGCTATTCCAAGTGCATAGTTTTGGGCATGGGGTAGGTATTCATGAAAAATGTATTGAATGGAAAATTGAAGTAGAATGTCAGTTTGTTTGTTTGTTTTCAGAGATGTAGCCCAAGGACCCAGGACAGTACCTGGCAGATAGTAGGTGCCCAATAAACACATGTTGTCGCATGACTGAAAATGGGCAGGGAGGTGCCAGGTTTAAAGGAGTGCACAGATCACTTCACCCTTTACAGTTTTGCTGAGTGCTGGTGCTGCTCCTCATGAACCTCTTCCCATGTGGTGTGCTATTCTTGACCTGTAGAATTTTTAGACCCTATGCAGGGACAGAGCAATTCACCTTGATTCCTTGGATGCTTGTTTTTCAAAATAAATACCAGTACTTCAGTTAAGAAATGCTCATTTTTTCATGATATATGACAGTTAGTTCCGCTTTAACAAACACTTGCCAATGGCCTGCTTTGTACAAAAAGTCAAGGCTTCCTTCAAGGAGCTCCCTGTCATACTCCTAATTCCATAATACAAACGCTAGTGTACATATGATGGATTTAACTTTAAGGGAATTTATTTTTTAATTAAATGTCATTCTTCAAGACATTGGATATACTCTATTTTTAAAAACTTCCTAATGTTCTGAAGTACCATGAAGTCCCAACTCCAAAAGGAATGAGGTGACAATGTTAGGTGTGTGGGGGAAGAAGAGCTGACTAAAGCAAGCTAGACAAATCTGTGCAGGAGTGGAAAGTGGTGGAAATCAAGTTTGTGCTGCTCACCAAATGAGATGCCTAGGCAGGTGCTCCCTACAGGTGTGTGCTCCCTACAGAAGTTTGTATTTTCCTGCAGGAGAGTGTTTACTGATTTGTATTGTACAGATCTGCTTTGCTTTTCCTCTTAGGTTTCCCATTAGCTCATGAGCTCCTGAGGAAAAAAAAAGTCCCATAGTTGGTGCTGAACAATTGTTTATTAAAAGAATAAATGGATTGCTGGATAAAGAAAGGGAGGGTCTTTGGGTATGGCCTAAATCCAACTTGAGGCTCCTCTGACATAAATCCACATTAATTGGTTCAACAAATTTTATTCAGGGTCACTCTCCCATAACGGAGGAAATATGTGGGTTCATTATCTTCAGTAAATAGGATAATAAGCCTCAAGTGAACCTCCAAAAGGTGGAAACTGAAGAGGTAGCCTATGTACACATCTTCACTGGGATCTAGCTTTGTAAAGTGATTTTTCCTGTATTTAATCTGTTCTGTAATATACAACATAAATGTGCCTAGATAAATATTGACAAAAATGTCCATTAACATTAGAGATTCGATGGTTTTATATTTCAGGATTGTACATGAAAAGCACATTAATCTGCCAGCCCAACCTAGTTTTTGCTTGTAGAATTTCCTGGCAGTTTCTATAACCTCCAAGAGCCATACTTGTCTGTTCAGCTCTGTTTCCATTCATTAGAAATGGGATGTTTTATTTTTCCCAGCATAGGTCTTTTGTCAGGAGGGAAAAATATTATTAACCATCATTAAGTTATATCCTTCATAAATCACTGACTTTTAAGATTAAATTTAAATTATATAAATTCAGAACAGATTTTGCACATCTAATGACATTAAAACACGTCCTAAAAAGGAAATTAAAATTAAAAGGCAAGGATACATAGCACAAGCCTACCAACAATTAATTGCTTACTGGCCAAGCCTGTACAAACACTACTCAAGACACCATGGGAAGGCACTTAATGGTTTTGATTTGAGTCATTTTCTGAATCTTTCAAGTGAGGTTTGTTGTTAAAAGTATATGCTTTATTAAAAGAAACATGGAATTTAGACAATTTAAAGAAACAATTCAGTGAGTGAAACATGAGCTCAGGTAGTACTAGGACTACATTATGTCTATTTCTTTTCTTTCTGATATTCTTTATTCCAGAAAAAAAAAAGCAACAACAACAACAAGAAAAACTTTATGTGATCCCTTTACCTCATGGAGCTTATATGCTAGTAAAAGAGATTGACATTAACCAATTATGTCACCATATAAAAGTACCTGGTGGTGTTAAGAATAATTGACAGAAGACATGGAATTCTAAGCTGAACTCTGAAGGATCAATAGGAATTAACTAGGTGAAAGTTGTGAGTGGAAGTGGGGAAGAGAATATTTCAGGTAGAGGATACTTCATGTGCAAAAAAAAATTGTATAATAAAGTCCTCACTTAATGTGGTTAATAGGTTCTATGACTTTAAGCAAAACGAAGTATAAGGAAACCAATTTTACCATAAGCTAATTGATATAAACTAAAGTTAAGTTCTTATGGCCTCTCATCAACACTATAATGAAATGACATTATTCAAGGATCTGCTGCAGTTGGTAATTATAACACCTGCTCAAGGAATTAATAGAAAGCTCATATAACCTGAGAACCGAGAAAGAGCAGGAGAGAGAGCAGTGTGGCACAAAAGGGAGTCTAGGTCTAGACCAGAAGGCCCTGTGTTTTGATCTTTATGAGAGCAACGCGAAGTCTTTGAAACGTTTTAGGCCTGTGAAATGACATGATCAGATGTACATCTTGCAAAGGAATCTGGATATAATGTAAAGAGTGGATTAGAGTAGCCCAGTAGCGTCTGTAGGGAGAGTAGATAGGAAGCTATTGCAATGATCTGGGTAAAATAACGTGGTACAGTATTTTAGATTGTAGTGGGAATGGGGGAGCAGTAGAGATGTGAGAAAGAGTCAAGAGAAATTTAGGAAGTATGCTACTACAAAACACTCATCATTGGTTAGTTCATTAGAGTAAACTCTTATGTTTCTAATGATTTGGGTAAAAGGTCTTTTTATTAATGGAATCTTATAGTTCATTGAAGCCTATCATTATGAGAATTGGCAATGGCCAAAGACTGAGAATTTAATACAATATTCTAAAAACTTAAACTATGCCAAACATACTTTAATTTTCTCAAGCTTAGCTCATAGTTGAGCATCTGAAAATCAGCAGGATTTTCATCATGAATGCCCCAAGTTATCAATTGATAATGAATGGCTGTAGTACTATAGACATGGCACCTGCAGGAGGGACAGGTGTTTGAGCTGTCTACAGTGATGTCATGGCGTGTATATCACAGGAGTGACTTTTGCTAGCAGATTTCTTCTAACTTTTGTATATGTCTTCAAATATTTGATTAAAGCATTTAAATTATTAAAAATAAATGTATATATTTTATTTGGTTAAATATGCTAAAATTTTTAGAAATGTATACATTTTTAATGTATGTATGTGTTTGTATACAAATACATATGTACATGTATAATTATATGGGTACTCACATAAATCAGTATAGCCTATAACAGTTTGATAAATGCTTTATTTTTCTTTTATATGTTTTATTTTTGCTTTTCATGTTTTCTATTTTTATTATTTTATATATTTTTAATTTTTATATATACTTATAACTGTACATTTAATGGCAAAATCATGTGAAATGGTTATCAGAAAATTATTATAATCTGTGTGGCTATAACTGAAAATTTACCTACTTGATTAAGCAAATGAAATCATGAATTGAATCAAGGCTAGAACCAAATTTATTATTTTCTGATTTTCCACAGTGTATTGTTTTGTTCTTTTTATTTTGCCTAGTTCACTTGTTATATATTAATTGTTTCATCGAGTTTTTTCTCTATGATGAAAAGATAAATATATCTTCTCTAAACATGGTGGAATTCCATACCTATCTGCTTTTGCTATCCTTTCTGCTTTCCCAGGATAAAACTATCAGAAATTTTAATATTTCTCTAAAGAATACAACTTGAGAAAAATTGTATGGCATACAAATTGCTATTCAAAAGAGAACAGATGTTTGATAAAAGTATATCATAATTCACATGCCTGAGAACCTTAGCCTTTATTTCAACAAATACATAACTCATCCTAAAGAAATAAAAGGCAACTCCCTGGTTGCTGAGGAGCTGTTGGCCAGAATCCTGATGGCATCTCTGTCCTTTGGCAATGTCAGTGCACTTGTAGGATTGAATTATTGCTCTAAGGTGCAGCACGTGCACATGGCTGCTCCTTATACAAGGGGTGAACATATCTCCGACTGGATATATTTCCGTTAACTGTACAAAAGTATGTTACACTTTCAATTAGATCAGGCTTCTTCAATGTATAGGGAAGTTTACCTCTTCTAACAAGTTCATCAGGATCTAAAGTCTAGCCCCATACTAAGAGCTCAGTCTTCAACTTTCCTTTTCCAGGCATGAGAAACAACATTGATTAATAGTCTCAGGTGTCATCAGCCCATATTCTGTACATGTATGTGACAACATAATACAATGCAACATGTGGTTCTATCAGTGGAAACTCTGATGGCCAACACAGAGGGCATTATCAGCCTGCTCAGATATAATGTTTGCTGTTAATTAATTTGATAACATTAAGATATCAGAGCAACAGAAATGACATATTTGTTCAGTGCATTGTTGTTTACAAAGCACTTTCCCGTAACATCTGTCATCTGATGTAATTCTTACAGTAAGTTTGGAAGGTAGAGGGTATATTCTCCATTTTACAGAGTGAGAAACAGGCTCATGAGAGTCTGACTTTCCCAATATCAGTTTGAATCTGACAGTGTAATATTTACGATGTACCATATGTGGAAATAAAAAGGTACATTATTAGGGAAAGTTTCTAGGAAGTGAATATTTGTCTCCACTAAAAACAAAAACAAAAAACCTGTTAGTAAATATATGTTTAATGAATAAATGTGAATTTAATCTCTTTCCCTTATCAGCAAAAATCATTAAGGAAAATATATTTATTATTTTAATACTTTTGGTAAAGTAAGAATATTAAATCAAATTTTCTAACCCATGGCTAGAAGCCTCCGGAGAGTTAAGCTGCGTCATAATCACACATACAACACACATAGTGAATTGGCTCCAAGGCAGTGAACCACCTTTATACCCAAACATCCGAAATGACATTGTGTTGGCTGAGACATTACACACATCAAGGAAATAAATTACTCATCTTCTGGCATGGAATTTTGTGCCACAGAGAAGTAATTTTCTAAGGGGCACCTTGGTAGTATGAAAGGATTCAGGAGGTTCCTAAACCTGAATGATCCCCAGCCCAGCAGCCAGCTGGCTATGTCTGTGAGACAACAGAACAAATGAGCTGTTCGGAGATTTGGACTCAAGCTTGCTGGGAAGCTCAGAGGTCATCTAGACCTTTTCTGTCAAAAGTCAGTTATGTAGAGCATGGGACCTCTTTTGCCCAAATGCCTGATTTTATTAATTCTTGACTGATTTTCCCTTCAAATCTCCAGAACCACTTATCACTCATCATTATTACCCATTCTGATTCTATCCCACATCCCTGACATGACCTGTATCTGCAGTCTTCCGCTTCATTGTGTTTCTGGTTCTTTCTTATCCAGGGTAAAAAGAAGTCAGTTTAGGCCATTTGTCAGAATTTATTGATGGCAATCTTGCTGAAAGTGTCAATGGCCTTTAGTTGATCAAGAACTCATTAGGAGATGAGGATTCTAGGTTTTGTTTTGTTATTCTTCACCAGATTTCTTGAAAGTGACCTTTTAGAGCAGTAAAAGAATGACAATCTGTGTTGCCCCAAATTTTGCTGTGTAGCATTCATTTTCATATCTAAGGGAAACAGTTTTTTAAAACTTTCGATAATCAGGCTAAAGATCTGAGAACATCCCGTTGGCCACTCATCTTACATCTGCCCCAGTAAGCCACATGTCGTTGCCAGAATCAACCAAAGGGAGTGAGTTCTGGGTGGGAGCCAGATTCCCAGCCAAAATATTGAGGCTAAGATGCTCTTTTTTTCCTAAATAAATACTAGTAGCTCTTATAAAGACAAAGGTGAAACAAGCCCATACAATCTACAGTGAATATAATGCCATTACTTACAAGTAGGCTTTTTCTCTCTCCAAATATGATACTGGAGTGTGTCCTAAGGTAGGTGAAAGGAGGAAGTATAAAAAGCAAATCCACTACTTGAGATTTTTCAGAATGTTTGTGACTCCAAGTTTAGAGCACTCTCAGGTGTCCTGTTGCCAGATTTGCTGACCCAGCCTTGGCCTGTGGCCTGCTTCTCTCAGAGGCTTTGAGGAAGTGGGTTCCTCACGTTCCCTCCCTAGGCAGGATCAACAGGTAGGCCCACCTTCTCACATACTTTGAACACCCTTCCTCCATCACAATTGAAAATATCATTTATTTTATGAGGAAATTGTAAAATTTACCAAGAATTAAGACATCTTGAATTCACATATTGCTCTAATTTTTTTTTTTTAAGTGAGCAGATACTTCTGACTGACTAATGGAAGATGGAGGTAAAGGAAGAGAAGGCAGGGGTGAGGGTGGGATAAGCAGGTAAGGACTGGTCAGGAATCTGTTCAATTAAAGTAGGTTTAAACCTGGCAAGTGTTGCTCAGTTGGTTGGGTGTCATCCCATTCACCCTCACCAAGAGATCGCTGGTTTGATTCAGATCAAGGCACACTACTGGATTGTGGGCTCTATCCCCAGTAGGGGGCATGCAGGAGACAGCCCATCAAGGTTGTGCTTTCACATTGAAGTTTCTCTCTTCTCCCTTCCTCTCTCCAAAAAATCAATAACTATTCTTTTGAAAAAGGTATTTAAAGTAGGTATAAGTTTTTGTTTTTCTTCTTGTTCTAGCAGGAAGTCTGGGTTCCTAGAGGTAAAATAAAGAATCCAGGCAGTTACTAAGCTTAAGAAACTATTTCTAAGGAACTTTGGCTTAGAATATTCAGACTGGTGGTTTTTCAGGCTACCATTCACCAATAAAGGACCATTATGAACTCTGTTTTGTGAGATATAAAGGTTTCGTGAAACTAGTGCTAGCCTGTCAAGATGAAATAAGGACTTTAACTCTGAATTCAATCTTTGAGCCATTTTAACTTCCAAACTTTTATGGGCAATATTCCCTCTCCCTGATCAGTTAGATAGCTGTAAGACACATGATGAAGAGCAAAGGCTGATTATTCTGGTCCCCAGTCACAGCTAAGAAAGCTAGACCAGCACATTTTTCCAGGTGTTATGAAGAGCCTCTGAGGTGCCATGTGGTTGATATGAAGATTCTCAAAGGGAAAATATTTGACAGAAAGGGAGCAGAGATGAGAGTGAGAAATCGGACATAGTCCCTTGGATGTCAACATACAACTCTTAATGATTTTAGTTCTGCTTCTGCACCCATATCTGTAAGTAGGTGGGAGGAAAAACCCTCAAAATTGAGGAGGGATAACCATCTGTTTTCTCACTTTGGCCTCCAAGGGCCTTGGCTCTCTGGCTATATTTTCTACTCTTCCTTCCTGAAGAGTTAGAATTTGCGTACATGTACTCTTCCGGATGGATGCCTACCACATTTCCCACAGTGGAGCCCTACAAGGATGTTTTGTCCTGAAAGAATTTGGCTGTATTTATTGCCAGACTAACCTAAATTCAGGTGAAAGGGGCTGGTTATCACAAATGGTCAAACAACATATTATGAGAATTCTATTCTGATTTAAAATGAAAATGTGTCTCATGACAAAAGAATTTTCATACTACCTTGGAATTTAAGAATATATTCATTCCTAAGAATTCTAATTTCTTATGCCTATTATCTAATTGTGTCGCACTGCATCACAATTCAGAGTGGGGGATGGAGATGAATTTAAGTGACTTCTCTTTCTATCACATAATTTTAGAGGTGATATATCAGATTTAAATCTAATTTATGTACCAGTGTCTCTTTAAGTTCTTGGATGCCTATGTATTTCCAGGCAAATGTGGTTGCTTAAAAACAGGAATGTCATCTAATGCTATATAATTCATTATGATTTAAGACAGCAGTACACAATCTAAAAGATGGTTTCATGAAGTTCATTTTATCTTACATTTTACCTCCTTCACTGTGAATATAGTCCACATGAGATCCTCAAGTAAGTCACTTTTTAGTATCCCCGTAAGGCCAAAAGAACAAGTCTGAGAACAGGTTTCCTCCAGAATGTACAACATTTATAAAAACTACTGAGTATTAAAGGAAGCAACTTCTAGCAAATTTCACCTTCTTCCCTCAACTGAAAGAAATCATTTGCTCAAAGCAGGGCCCTACATTGAGCAATGCCTGGATTAATGCCTAGGAAAGAATGCCCTCAACTGGAGTTTATAATCTTTTTTCAGCTCTAATACGTGATTTTGTTAAACAGTGTTTAAGAACACATGCTTACCTGTATTTTCAGCTGTGTGACAAAAATACTTTCAGGAACAAGTCCTGCAAATTCTGCCCCAGCCAACAAACACAGAGTGGTGCACCTGAGATGGAGAGGGCCCCCTCCTCCCCGCCACACAGCCTCCTTCATCTGTGACCTGTGCTGACCCTACCACGGGCTCCATGCTGCTGCTCTCTTTACTCTGAAACTGCCACCACCTCTTAAAAACTTAAAAGGATCTGTTAACCAATTCAAATTATTTATTTTGGTGATTCACACTACAAAGCATGTTTAGTTATTAAAGGGATTTTCTGTGTTAGCAAACCCCCGAGGGAATTGGGGGCTGTAGGTGTGGGAGGCTTTAAAAAGCAGTCATTTAGTCAGGGTGTGACCTCCCCAAGAGCAGTTGGAGTGGCATAGTGGATGTGGGTTAAGAAGAGAAGAAATGAGAAACAGCAGAAGTTAACCATTTCAAGATATTGTATTGGGAAAGGGAATGGAGAAGTTGAAGCTGGGGGTTAAAGGAGGAATTACTGCTTGTTTTTAAAAGAGGGTTACCACCATAACCGGTTTGGCTCAGTGGATAGAGCATCAGCCTGCGGCCCGAAAGGTCCCAGGTTCTATTCCGGTCAAGGGCATGTACCTTGGTTGCGGGCACATCCCCAGTAGGAGGTGTGCAGGAGGCGGCTGATCAATGTTTCTCTCTCAATATTTCTCTCTCATCGATGTTTCTAACTCTCTATCTCTCTCCCTTCCTCTCTGTAAAAAATCAATAAAATATATATTAAAAAAAAAAAAGAGGGTTACTAGAATATGCTTGTAAGTAATGGGAATAACCAAGCATAGAGGAAGAAATTGGTGAAACATAAAGAGAGGTTAAAATGCAGAAGCAAATTCCTTGAAAAGTTAAAAGGTATTGGCTTCCAAAGCACAAATGATGCAGTTAGCTTTTGATAGGTACAAAGAGTGACCATAAATAAGAGGACTGTTTCACAATACAGAAATATTTCTGCATTAAAATGTTGAGAAACTAAAGCAGGTGAAGCCACATGAATTTGCTGATTTGTGGCCATTTTAACCTGCAAAAATACCATTTTTCTATGGCCCAAACTTACAATAATATGCATACATAAAATAGCTTAGAATACACAAATGGAAATAGGTGGTGAGAGGATGTTTTCTGTTTTTCACATTCTTTTCTAAATTTTGTGAAATATTTTCATATAATCTTAAAACAAATGTAAGGGACTTATTAAATATCTCGTAAATTGAATATTGCTTCAAACTTTAGGTTATAAGGAATGCTGAACAGAACAGGCAAAGACAAAATCAGATACAAGTAACAATTCTGGTTTTATCTGAGCCTCTGTGTTCTTTACTAAAGGTTTACAACATCTACCACATACTTCAAGATTCCTCGGTATCTTTTTCTCTTAGCAACTCATATGTATAAAAAGTTTAAATTAGAATGAATCTATGTGTTTCATAAGCTTTATCTTTAAAATGTGTCCATTGGCTTAAATGTTCATATTTTCTTTTGTCGCAGGCTTATTTATATTTATTTTCCACTGTGCTATGAAGGAGAACGTTCAGAAACAGTGGAGGCGGCACCTCTGCTGTGGTAGATTTCGGTTAGCAGACAACTCAGGTAAGGGGCAAGCTGATAACTGGTTTTTACGTCTAAGAGCAATAGTGGGAAATGTTTGTTATTGGGTCTTCCATTGCCAGAGAAACCCAGTCCCAGTGGTAGCAAGTTGTAAAAGTGGGTATGTGACGATGCTTGGTTAGAGTCTTAGTATATTAGGAATTAAGGAGATCTGAGGCCTCTGGGCATGACCCTTCTGTTTGGAAAGGAGAATCATGAAATCCACACTGGTTAAGTGGGCTGCTCAAGGCTTCATGTCTAATTTAATAAGTCAAATGTCCAGAAGTTCCACTATGCCATTGTCACCTGTCCACATTTTTGAGGTTCTAATTTTGCATGATTAGGCCAAGAGAATTTTTTCAATACTGTAAAATGAAATACCTAATAAAAAGTATTACCTTTTTTTATTACCATCAGTGGTTACTTCTCACCCTTAGGATATTAAAGTAGGATTTCAAACAATATTTTACACAGGGTCAAAGGAAGAAACTTATCTACTTCTTTAGTTTAATGTTGTTCGCATCTAATGTTCTGAGTGTTACGTAAATAGTGTAGTGATGAGTCTTCAGGCCATATTCCTTCTACAGCAGATTCATGGAGAGATGTCATTTCTTTCAGACTGGAGTAAGACAGCTACCAATACCATCAAGAAAAGTTCTGATAATCTAGGGAAATCGTTGTCCTCAAGCTCCATTGGTTCCAACTCAACCTATCTTACATCCAAATCGAAATGCAGCTCTACCACCTACTTCAAAAGGAATAGTCACACAGGTGAGTCCTGGCCATGCAAAGGTGCTCTCTGATTCAGTTCTCATCACGTTTTTACTGACAACATTGGTAACGTAGACAAAAATTTACTTGAAGACCTTATCCAGCACCTTTGTAGATGTTTGTCTTTTTATTTTTTTTTAGATTTTATAACCTAAATTGAATCTATATAGCCATAATGTTATTGGCCAGCAGTTCTCAACCTGTGGGTCGTGACTCCTTTGGGTCGAAGGACCCTTTCACAGGGGTCGCCTAAGACCATCCGAAAACACATATATAATTACATATTGTTTTTGTGATTAATCACTATGCTTTAATTGTGTTCAATTTGTAACAATGAAATTGGGGGTCACCACAACATGAGGAACTGTATTAAAGGGTCGCAGCATTAGGAAGTTTGAGAACCACTGTTATTGGCTCTGAATATTATTGTTATTGCCTCCAATGCAAACTTAGTTTTCTTTTAAAAAATTATAGTTATCTTGTTTAACAGTTACTTGTTTTATTTTAAAATAGTATATAAAAATTGAGTTGAGATTATTTCAACATGGTATTAAAGATACTTGGCAAGCTTGCATGGGAACAGACAGAAACACCATCCAGGATATATGTTACCTTTAGGATTTAAAACTTTAAACATTGAAAATGTGATTGGCAATTACTGTTTGAATCACTGATTAAACAAAAAAATTATGAAAGAATAGAGAACATCATATTTGGGAAGGAATACAAGATGGTGAGAAATATTGTATCTTTGTTAATCTGTATATTCATAATATTTGCAATGATCACACATTTTAACACTAAGCATGAAATGAACAATCCTGAAGACAACATGGAAATAAAGATGATTTTGCAATATTGATAGCCAGTGACCAGTGGGATAAGGTGTAATCTTTTAATAATTTCAAAGGAAAATAGCAGAATTGCTACTTTTACATACTAATTAAACCTCAATCAGTATTTAGCACCAAGCACTTTCCTAATTAAAGATGTGTCCAAAAGGATAACACAAATAACCTTAATTTTGAATTTGTTTAGCTATTGAACAGAGGTGAATGGCACAGAGAAGATTCATCTTTGGCTGTTTGCAAATAGGGAGTGTGTTGTGTGATGTGTAAATGTTCACATTGCAAACCCTTGAATTTCAAATGACCCTTATGTACATTTGAATCCTTCCACCTGCCCCTGCTTGCGCCTCTGTCAGTGCCTCACCAGTGGAATAGCCACTGCCTGGGATTCAAGATAACACCGTAGAAACATGTTTGAGTGTATAGAGAGTTTGTTAATTCCAAAATTAATTAAAGACCTAAGAACTTGGAACAGTTTAGGTGATTCTTGAAGTAAGGATGTTTAATAAAAACTATAAACTCCCTTCCAGAATAAGGTGCAGGCTTTGAGTTCTGTACACAAATAGCTTTGCCTAAAATTAAGAGGTCTGTGCTCCCCTGCTGTGTAATAAATAAGGGTTATCTGAGATAGTCTAAAATAGATTATTCTACCTAATTGGTAGTTTTCTGGTACAAATTATCTTTATTTATAATGAATGAATGTTTCACTTACGATATTCAACCTCAAAATTAGATACTCATTTTGCATCCCCCTCAAAAATGCAAATAATTTATACGTGATAAGCCAGTTATGAATGACTAGGAATTAGAAATGATTATCTTACCCCTAACACAGCTGAGAATTGCTGGCCTCAAGAAATGCCACTATAAAAATGGGAGAGAAGATAACAAGGTAGATAATTTGGAACAGAGGGCATTTTGGAAGCATTAACGAAATACTTGAAAATATTAAGGATCATAGGAAAACTCACTAAAAGATGAAAGGAAATGCAGAAATGAAGATAGATACCTAAGAAAAACTTTACTGTTTCAAAACATTGTGTATGTGGTTTTTTTTAAAGAATGTATTAATATTTTTCTGCTTGCCATAATAAAACTCTTAGCATTAAATGGGTTCTTGTCAACTGGCATAAGGATATAGTCAGCTATATGACATACTTCTATGATATAACACATTCTAGTCTCCCATCAACTGATGTACAAATGGCCTTCTGCTACCTAGCCAGTTCTCAGTGGGACTGCTGGTGTACTTGGGTCACTTGGAGTATGCAAGGAGTCACTGCATATCATCATGGATATCTAGTTGGTTTATTTCTTGGAATTGATCTAGAAATTCATATGTTTATGGTGTAGATAATGTCTTCTAAGAGCATTCCTTCAACAAAAGTGGATCATTCAGGTAAACCTTTATATTTTTTTGAATGCATGATTTTTTTGCAAGGTAATAAGAGAATATTTGCATGAATTAAACTAAGACTCTTGCTGCACCAGCAAAATTGCTTGTTCTTTACAATACTTCTCAGCTAGCACAATGACATTCCTGCCCTGAGCTGGAATTTCTGAAATTTCAAGTGGTTGTTTGCTGTGCTGGCTCTTGTCTGCATGGGGGTGTCTGCAAGCCGCTCCTTCTAGGAAATGTACCATGCTCTGGAGTTAGTAAATTTCATATCAAGTACAATAACAACAAAATAAAAGCAGTGCTTGAGAGGTTTGTGTTAGAAAGGTGTAAAGTGAAATTCTTCTTTACTTTTTCATTGATCTGATGAATTACTGGAGTTGTCATGGTACATTCATAGAAGATATAAAATAGAAGTTGTCAATTCTTACCCTGATTTTTGAGGATCTTATCTGCTTAAAACTTCAGCACAGGTCAAACAGTAGTTCATTTCCCTAGCCCCTGGTTTTCAAACTTGCAACTATAATCAAAATACATACTGCCCATATGTAATAATCTAACCAGAGGACTGATAACTGCATCTACAGGGTGGGACAGAAGAAGGTTTATAGGTGTTCAAATGGTAAATAACACAATGATTAATAAATAATACCAAAAATAAATTCTGTGTTTTGTGTATTCACAACTGTAAACTTACTTTTGCCCAACTCTGTTTTGATATACAGACCTTATTCAGAATTTCTTTTATTAGAATGTGAAAATCCAGAAAATTGGGTCACATATTGGGAATGGAGCTGGTTAAAATCTCTAAAAGCTACATGACCCTAGAAGTTATCAAAAAAGCAGACTGAATATACCCTTGAAGTTTATTTTAAAACATCAGGCAAAAAATTATTCATTATTGAAATTTAATTCAATAGAAAAATCCCCAACAGAAAACCAATGGCTAGTGAATGTATGAACTGAAGGAAAGCACAGAACCAATCAGCTTGCCCAGAGCTAAAAGTGGGAGGGCCTTTATACAATGAATGCCCTCAGCCTTTTTCTCACCAATCCTGGGGCATAATCATTCTGCCATGCTTCCATCTGCCCGTTCTTCCCATAAACCATCCATTTTGCTCCCTTTAGTGTGGGATGAACACACCATTTCCAATTTTAGCCTTCTTTTTTTAAAATATATATAGTTTTTGTTCCAACAATAAGCAGTTGAACAATTTGAATTATTTCCAAAGACAATAGATATAACTCTGATGGATTTTACCAATTACTGAAGGATTTGTAATATTTTCTCACATACTGGGTCTAACTTACTCAAAACAAACAAAACAAAAAAATGGCAGGACATGAGCATTCCAATTTTGAAGCCATGATTTCTAGAAGTGGTTTTTCATGATAGAGCTTTTGCCTCTTCCACAGTGACTAGAAAACTACAACTGTAGGGAACTAGTATGTTGTAGACGGTCATATTTGCTCCTTCCTCAGTGTGAAATCTCTGGTTAATTTTAGGGTAGAAATTTTCTCCAAAGTGTGTTGGAAAAAGGAGCAAGGAAGATATATACAAGATATTCATAAGTTACGCACATGAAGACAGCCATATGTATTTGTAGATAATAGGGCTTAATTGAGTTTCAGAACACTGAGCCAATTTTAGAAGCTTTTGTGTCTAGGACTTAATATTTAAATATATGGTATTGGGAGATTTAGAACAAAAATGTATTTAGCAGTCCTTTATTTCTATCCATTGTTCTCATATTGTTGTCAGCAATAACATAATTCTGAGATTAGCACAATTAATAAAAACATATACTTTAAATGTTTCTGATAATTTTAATTTCTTTAATTTAAAAATAACTAATAAAACATTTTTTCTATATTCCAATCACTTTACAAGGCAACCATTGGAAAATGTGTTCAAAATATCCTTTTTATGTTTATTTTCATTGACTTTTATTCTCAAAGTTTCTTTAAATTATACTTTATAAAAAATTTTGCCCTGGCTGGTGTGGCTCAGTTGGTTGGAATGTCACCATGTATACTGAAAGGTTATTGGTTTGACTCTGGTCAGGGAAGATACCCAGGTTATGGGTTCAATCCTTGTGTGGCATGTATGGAAAGCAACCAATTGGTGTTCTCTCTCACATCAATGTCTTTCTCTCTCTCTTTCTCTCTCTTTACCTTCCTCTCTCTCTAAAAATCAATATACACATCTGCATGTGAGAATTAATTTTTTATGAGAAATTTCATATATATAAAGTAGAGAGGATAGTATAATGAATCCCCTTCACCTACCCACCTTCCCTCTCAGTATTATTTTGAAACATATCCTAGACATCATGTCATTTCTTCCATAAATATTTCAGCATCTTTTTATCCATTTGTTATATAATCTGTCACTTTTTCTTTTGAGCCTTGCCACATTTTTTTCTTTGCAGCAATTTTCTGATTAGTCATCAGATCTTTGAAAAATACCACTACAGGAACATTTATTAAAACAAACTCTAACACATATTACTAGAAGGCAAATTGACATTGACCTATCCATAGGAATGCACTTTGAAGGGGAAAAATGTGAATTTTCAGTGCTGCCTATTACCTAACCTGAGAACCAGAGTTTTATTTCCTTTCTGTATTTTTTTAATGTGTAAAATACAGTGTTCAGTGTGGTGGCCCTTAGGCATTTCACCAGCTCCTCTTGCCTAATTTCTTGTATCATTTCTTACAGATAATGCTTCCATGGACAAGTCCTCATCAAAACTGACCCATGCTGATGGAGAACAAACATCAATCATCCCTGTCCATCAGGTCATTGATAAGGTCAAGGGTTACTGCAATCCTCATTCAGATAACTTCTATAAAAACATTATCATGTCAGACACCTTCAGCCACAGCACAAAGTTTTAATGTCTTTAATATAAGAAAGAAATGTGATATGCAAGCAGTGAACACTGTGACTAGCAGATGTAAACGTGCCGTTACCTAGGTAACTCCATATCTATGAGGAATGTATTTTGTTAAAAAGGCTTTTATGAAATTCAAAATTTGTCTTTTCAGTGTATTTCTTCCATGGGGAAGTTTCCATCATCACTAAAACTTCAGTACTGAGAGCAACAGTATTCAGTAGCCACAGGAAAAATGAATTTTTAAAATATAAAATTGAATTCCACTAATCAGAACTCAGGGGGAGACATTAAAATTAGAGGAGAAGGGAGAGGCTGAGCTAGGGACAAACCCTAGTTTAGAGCTCATTCACACCCCACCCAATAGTTAGGTTTGGGTTTAGCCATTTGCTTCATTGAAATCTTTCTCAACAATCAAAGCATAATGATATTTCTAACTTTTGTGGATGCCTGCAACTCCTGAAATGTGCTAGTTTCTGTGAATGAAGTAGCATATATCCTCTTTTTTCGTGAAATTTCGACCATAGATATGAAAGAATGTCTGACCTGAAGAACAGATAGGAATTTTTTCTTATCATACCAATTGTTTAACTTTCAGGAACATAACATGCTTAAGAAAGAAAGAATTCACCAAATTTTGACCTAGTTAATATGAGGTCATGCAAATTTATACTATTTTACTTATCCTATTCAAGACACAAAGCTTAAGGATCATCATTAATTATCACTTAACCCCATACATTTGAATCAAGTTTAGCATTGATGGTTCATTAATGTGAACCTCCCAGTAGTTATTGAAGAATGAGTCTCTTATACCTCTGCTTTGCTCCTCTACTGAATATTGAGCCCACAGGCTCTGGAAGGAATGAGAATTTCCATTAGGCACGCTGTGTGCCATAGTTTCTCCCTTTTAGGAAATATAATCATTGAGAATCTCGGGTCCTACCCTTGCTCTGCAGACTTTAAGACATTTGCAGTTGCACAAATGAAAAGCCTCTTACTTTCCCCTTTAAGAGTTTTGTTCCAAGGAATATAAACTGAGACAAATGGGTGACTTATCATAATCAAAATAATTTATAAACATGTGGGTCTACAATTGCTAGTCGAAAAACTATTTGTACATAAGTCCTCTGATTATAGGAGCCAGAGGAGGTCTGGTAAGATAGATGGTGTTATTTATGGATTAGGTTTCTGCCTACAAGCCATGCATAATATTAAGCAACTTACTTAACTTTCAAACTATTCTGAGTAATATGCTTGCTAGTGAGTGTTTAGGAGACCACATTTTATTTGTTCTTAAATGATGGATTTGTATCCAGTTTCTTACAGATTGGTCTCAGTACATGCTGTACCCTTACATCTGCTCTGGGTTATCTGGGAAGTATCAGATTCTGGGAGGTGGCTATGTGTTGGGAAGTTGAGCCATTCTGGAGCCAATCTGTTTAAAGGCAGCAGGCAGAACTGAGCACCTGGGGGCCTTTCCCTCTGTGCAGAAAGCAGATAGCTCTCAGCCTGAGACTTAGCATCCAGGCTGTGCAGCCACCAAGGGGCCTCTCACCTTTTGCTGATCCTCAGTCATGAAGCTATTTGCCAGATTGAATGGATGATAAGACAATGTGGGGGTGGATTTTATTACTGTTCCATTTTGCAGCAGGGTGGAACACTGTCCCGGGGTACATGAGCATTGCCCAGCTTTGCTTTCACAGGGGAGGGGTGTACATAGTAGGGAAGGATAGTAAATCTTCAAATCACAAAGATCCATTACAGTAGAGCCAGATCGTTCCCTGTAGGCATATGTTAACAGGCTGCTTATTCTGGCAGAAATTATATATAGATGAAAATTAATCTTAAATAGTCTCTGAATCTTCATATACTGTCCCCAAGCCTTAGAGATTCATGATAGAATTTAATTAGCTTCCTACTGTGAGATTTCTACCCAAAGTGCATATTGAGTTAACAGTGATTAAGAGGTAGCTACAAAAATGACTTTGATTTCTACTCATATTTATCCAGATCTGGGAAACCTTTTTATTCATATTTGACAACAATGTCAGCTCCATTTTAGAAATGTCCAGTAACCAGGTAAGGAAAAATGGAAGAAACAGCTGAATAGAAACATTTGCAAGTGGATTTAAAGACTGAGCCAAATTCTATCCTCAGTTCTAAGGATACAGTTCTCCCCTTCACTTAACCCCCTCAGAACAGAATTACAGAAATTCAATTACAGGAATGTAATTCTGTGGAGCCAAAATTTAGTTTCAGCTCAGCTTTGAGACTAATATCAATTCAGACTCTCTGGGATTTTTTCTTCTTTGTCCTTTAAAAAAAACCTCCATTGTATTGAATCATAGTCTAGCATCCTGAGATATTTTGCCTTCTTGTCGCCATTACTTGCACTGTAATGCTTTTCTTTTTCACTGTTGTCATAGACTCTTTTGTACATGTTTATTTATTTATGTTTATAAATGTCAGCTTGTTTTGTATCTTAGCTTTATATTGCTTGGCTTTGTTATTTTAATTAACTTTCTATTGGAGAGACTGTATATATATTTTTTCTAAGTACCTTGTGAAATAGATTTCTGTAGCAGTATCTTTACTTATGATGCATTAAAAGTGACTGTGAGCGCAAATTGGAATTAGTGAGAAGCTACTGTAGCTGATTTGCCATTGTACTTATATGGAAATGTTTTTCAAATAAATACTTACGTTGTTTGTGTCCCAAATTATTCAGTTCCTTTATGAGGGAATGTTTTTATTTCTAACTCTTAAATAGGAAAAAATTATTTGACAACTGGAAAACAACCAGCCTCTAATTAAGCTAGTCACATGGACTACTTGGCCAAGTCACTGAGAATGAATATGTTACCAAAATCCAGTTTACTCAGGATTAATGCATTTTGAAGTTCTTAGATTTTAAGGTGACTGATGCAACGCCAAGCTCTGTAGAAGATTAAAAGTAATCGTAGGTCTCTTTTTTGAGGAAGTCTTTAGCACCCCCAAAAGGGAACTGAGTCAGTAATATTATGTAGAAGTTAGGTCCTAGGATGTTTTCTCACCATTTATAGTTGCTATTTTCATTGTGGGAGGCTTAGGAAATGACAGGATTTCACCAACTCCAGCATCATTTGCATGATTAGAACAGAACACCTGCACTTCCTTTTGCGGTGGTTATTTAGGATAACTCTTTCCTGCAGAGAGCCAAGGCCCAATTTGGCTTAAGCCAGTGGTTCTCAACCTTGGCTGCACATTAGAATCACCTGGGAATCTTTTTAAAATCCTGATTTCTGGGCCTCATCCTCTGGAAATTCTTTTTCTTTGTTATGGGGTGGGGCCACAACATTAGTAACAAAGAAACAGAATTTCCGGAGGGTGAGGCCCAGAAATCAGGATTTTAAAAAGATTCCCAGGTGATTCTAATGTGCAGCCAAGGTTGAGAACCACTGGCTTAAGCTGTGAGGTGCATTCACTAGTCACTGCTAAACTAGGTCTTCTGAGCCAAAGTTCACAACTCCTGGCCAAGCCGTGTTAAGAAAACAGGCAAGTAGTTGCTTAAGATTCATCTGTGAGCAGGTTACTTCAGAGAGCTTGGAGCAGATGGGAACTACTTATTTGACTTGCAGGCTGACCCATGTTTAGAGTATTTTGAAATTTGAAAAAAATTAGGCTTTTTTGAGTTTTGGAAGCACATCTGTATTTTCAGTTGAGTAACATTCTACTTTTCTCATATAAAAGAGTTGAATATCTCTCCCTCCTCCCCTACAACTTTCCTCTTTCTCTCACTTTTTTCCTCTGTTTCTCCCTTCACCTACCCCTCCCCCCCTCTTCATTTCAAGGAAGAATACTTAAATTTCCCTTTTCTGCTTCCCTAGAGAAAAATAGGAATAACTGTGAAATATTGAAATGTTTTGCATTTATATTCTACTAGAGGCCCGGTGCACAAAAATTTGTGCACTCGGGGGGCGGGGGGCGAGGGGTCCCC